AAAGTGAGTGCTCTAACCACTGAGCTACAGGACTCCATAGAATTGTAATTGTATTGTTTATACATTGTCATGGCAGAGACAATAAATACTGCGTTCTCCATTTGGGAGTAATCCACGAGGTATTTGATATATTTTCATGCATGATATAGCAGCTGTTGCAGTAGATAACGGAGTGTTATAGCGAGGGTTAGATTGTATTGATTGATGGACACCTTGCAGTTGCAATGCTGTAGTCCATTCAATGCATTCAGATTAAGTCATCCAATAATGCAGTTAGCTCCCTATCTGTCCTAACAGATATCCACTTGGAATAACTATTTGCTGTGTAACTTTTAGCATCTGACCAATTAGAGTATCATATGATATTATACACTGTACAGTTACCAGTAAAAATAATAATCCTTGTATTTGATATAGCACTGCATCAAATTGTTCAGATGTTTCAAAATGCTTCACAGAATTTTACTGTGAAGGCATAATGGCTGGAGGTAGACAAATGTGGTCGCTAATTTGTGCACAGCAATGCTCGACAAACAGCGAAGGAGACACTATTTTTTATTTTGGGGGATTGTTGACAAGGACACCGGGAGAAGCAAATTAGATAGATTTCTTTTAGGAAATAATATCTTGGGATACAATATATAGGTTGGTATGTGCATATGACTTCCAGGATGGTGGAAGGTGAATTGGATGGACCTTTGGTCTTTCATCCAGCAATACCTTCTTTTTTCATGTAGTGTCATGGGATCTTTAACATCCATGTGAACAGGCAGACGGGACCTTGGTTTAACTCTCATTCGAAGGATGGCACCTCTGACAATACATAACAGTACTGCACTGAAATGTTAGCCTGGACCATGAATTCAGTCATGATTTGGGGCTTGAACCTATAACCTTGTACCTCAAAGGACCGACAGAGTGTTTACCAACTGAGCCAAGCTGACAACAATATTCTGCAATAATTAATAGTATAAGCAGTCTAATATGTAGCAATTTCAAACACGATACCTTAATAAGGAAATAAGTACATAATAAGTACATGGCAACAACCCGTGAGATCTACCTTGGGTGTAGAGTGCTGAGCGGTAAGTGTGTTGTACCTCTAGGTAGCGACGGAAGTCCCCAGTCGGATTCAGCAAACTCTCCAGCAAGGACCTCCGGATATCAGTCAGTAGTTAGGAACTCTGACTGATATCTGCCTCCTGAACCCAGATGTGGTGCCCTCAATTCCAGTATCCCAAACGTGCTCTGGGTGAGATCAGCTACATCCACACACATGGGGATCCACACAGACTGCATCAATGTATAATGCCTTAATAATAATAATAATAATAATCCTTGCATTTGATATAGCGCTTTTCAAGTCTTCTAGACATCTCAAAGAGCTTCACAGAATATACTGTAAAGTGAATTGACTGTATATTTGTGGGTGAAATGTGGCAACAGGCAGTGATTGCCTTTCCTCTTTGGGAGGCATTATGTAAACAATTCTCAGCTCAATAAATTCACAGCTGAGTTGGTATTATTTATTCAACTCCCTTTATAAAAGCTGGGACACATGGACTTTGTACAATAAGCCACAGCTGTGGTTTTGCCTCTTTTAGAGCCAAATCCATGCTAGTGACTTTGCTCAATTAAACACATGAAATTTCGGTGGTAGAGCATTTCTGGCAGGACCAGATCTGGACAGATTAACTTACTTCTTTTCAACACAGCTTTTAGTTTGACTGATCTGTTTTTTTTTGATCACAGTATTTGCTGGCACATGTTGCCGATTATTGTTTTTTTATTGCGCTTTTATGAAGGGTTCCAATGTAATTGTCTCCCACATCCCTCTTAAGCAACAGAACACACGAGAGCTGTTGTCCTGCCTATCACATCACAACCACTTTTTAACCCAATGTAAGATGCCGAAGCCAAATAAAACCTCCTCAAAACTTCACCAACCCCTCCTTTGTTTCAGGTCAAGACACCTACCTACAAGGTTCCTGAAAATTATTATATGAATGCAGGTTGCTGTTGTTGTTGCCTGGATTGCAAGCGATTTCATAGAATCATAAAATATTTCTGCACAGAGGAGGCCATTCGACCCATCGTGCCTGTGCCGGCTCTTGGGAAGAGCTACCCAATCAGTCCCACTCCCCTGCTCTTTCTCAATATCCTTGCAATTTTTTCCTCTTCAAGTACCTATCGAATTCCCTTTTGAAAGTTGTTATTCAATCTGTTTCCACCAGCATTTCAGGCAGTGCATTCCAGACCGTAATTACTCTCTGTGTAAAAAGATTTCTCCTCATCTCCCCTCTGGTTCTTTGCCAATTATTTTGAACCAATGTCTTGTGGTTACCGACCCACCCACCAGAGGAAACAATTTCTCCCTATCTACTCTATCAAACCCCTAATAATTTTGAACTCCTCTATTAAATCTCCCCTTAACCTTATACGCCACATGTTAAGGGTATAAATCTGCCAAGCATATAACTCAAAGATGCATGGCAATGCAAATGCACTGCAGAATTGTATAACATCAATCAACCAGTTCAAAAATAATCCAGTATGTACCAAAATGTGATGACATAATCCCATCTATCACATCAGACACTTCCTTTATTCACTACTGATTACTACGAGAATTATATTTTGCTATCCACGTACATTCTTCCTCAGGGAAAAAGCATAAAGCTTAAAAACAATGAAGTAACAAGTTAGAGAGGAAGGGAATGTGGAATGTGCTGAAACTTGATGAAATTGAGCCTGTTCTCTCTTGATTCTGCTTTTGCTGCAGATTGTATTGAATTAGAATGTGTGTGTATGTGTGTGTGTGGTGGGGGGGGAAACGGACAGACACTCTGCTCTCTCTGTTCACGGTGAAGCTACAGCTGGATGTCATCAGCTGTAGTGGAGACTGAAAGTCTTCAGTGTCACAATCTGGAGAGGTTGACACACTGCAACCTTGGTGCAAATTTATACCATAATAAATCACCGGTAATTGGCTTAAACTTTAACAGCACAACTTCCACTCAGACAGAAAGAGGAAGATACAGCTGTGGGTTTGACATTTACAAGACAGAAAGTGATGGGACTAAATACAGTTTCAGGACCTAATCCCATGATCATCAAATTTCTATTGCAAAATACTGTATTGAACAAGTGATAAAGCCACTTCTTTTCCCAAAACAATGGTTGGAGTTTTGGTAGATCGCTGCTGCAGAAAATTAGAAATAGGGATTTTCTCCAGGGTGATATTTAGACACATATGCAGACTATAATAATAAACCTTGCATTTGATGGAGCGCCTTATCACTTCTTCGAGACATCTCAAAGCGCTACACAGAAGACAGTACTGTCAAGAGCTCCGGGACGCTACCCCACATGAAGGGGGTGAAACAGCAGCCAATTGCGCACAGCAGTGTCTCACATACAATCATGGATTGACTGACCAAGTTATTATTTTTTTTGAGGGATTATTACCCTTGGAAAAGTGATCCACCGATCGATTGACAACCGGGTTCCTACTTACTGCTAACAGAGGCGTGTGGAGTAATGAAACTTGTCCAGTGTTTCGCCCTGCCTGGGATTTGACTAATCCAGTATTGTATGCACATATGATATGAAAATGAGATAAGGTTTTTGCTGCACTATATAACTATCAGACTGTCACTCAGCGATGCCAAGAGAAGTGGAAGTCGATAAGATCTGCAATGAATGCGAGACCATTATTCACATACCTGTACAGTATTTGCACATTCATCATTCCTACTGCAATTTCAGCCCAATTTGTCCCATGGCTTTCTCATTACTGTACTCATTTCAGTTCCATCAGATTTATTCAAGACCCTTTACCATGCTGTCTTTAAATATCTCTATAATACGAAGGTTGTAAAACAAATAAAATGAGTCAGTTTCTTAAATATCAAATTTATTAAGCTTATACAGTATGTCTTTACCTCCTGGAGAATCAGGTACCAAGACGTGAAATTTATGAATCTATATCCAGTTTTGTAGAAAATCAAAGATAGGATTTCGAATACATCTGCAATTTGGTTTTCTTTTCTGATAGGTCCCTTTTCTTTTNAAAAAAAACACAAATAATCTCCACTTTACTAAACTGATATGAATTAAAACAATGTGGACTATTGGGCATTATGTAGTAGCCCGTAAAATTTGGCTTTCAAGTACCGTACAGTTGATCTAATTATTGGAAATCCACAATAGCTGCAAAATTAATGTAAGATCAACCCAAGAGGAGTCCTTGTGCTACATGGAAATTAAAAGCAAAATGAACATGATAAACCAATACCATTTATTTTGCCTCGCCCATTACAGTAAAGGTACAGCATTTTCCCTCAAAGTTTGGCATCCTCTTTGTAAGAAATGTTTGACATGTTTCCATAACAATGCACCGTGAATATGTGCAAGACTTTTGAAATATAATACTGCGTATATTTAGAATAAGGCCAACGGAAATCTTTGTCTATGATATAATACAATAAAACAAAAATCTCACAATAACTATTAATTGCTCCCTTTGGTCATTCATGGCATTTTGTGTTTTGATGCAGTCAAGGACAACAACAACAAGATTTCATTTATAGAGTGCCTTTCACGTTGGGAGGACGTCCCAAGGCACTGGACAGTTGGGTCAGGACCCGAGCAGGGGGGAAATGGTGAGGGGAGGGAAGGGAGGGAGGGAGCGAGGAGGGGGTAGAGAGTCGAGAGGGGAGCTGAAGGCACGGTCAAAGAGAAAGGTCTTGAGACCGGCCTTGAAGGAGGAGAGGAAGCAAGGCAAAGGCACTGGGGGATGGAGTTCCAGAGCCTCGGGGCTGAGAGGCAGAAGGCCCGGCCACCGATGTTAGGGTGGTTGGGGCGGGGGATGTGGAGCAGACCGGAGCCAGAGGTAGGTAGGGGGATAGTAGGTCAGAGAGGTAGGAGGGAGCAAGGCCGTGAATGGCCTTGTAGGTGAGGATGAGGATCTTGAATTCGACACAAGGACACAAACATATAATTTCCATTTTATTCATCATTACACAATCTATAAAACAGAAATAAGGGACTGTTGTGAATGCAGTGCAAAAAAGTTGCATCATCATTTACAGTAAACAACCCTCTCCATCACCAAGTTTATTGATTATATTTTAATGATCAATTTATCCAATGTATAGACACACTTTTGCAGGTCCTCAAACAGTTACAGTACAATGACTCAGGCAATTTTTTTAGGCATTTCAAGGCTCCAGGCACCAGTTAGGTAACGTAATCGGATAATGAGTAGATCTCTACCCATTTGCAGCCAACTCCAGAAGGGAACCAGCTTTGATCCTATGAAAGACAATGTAAAATTAAAGGAAGCACATTGGGCAGAGTATTTAGTGTTCACAAAGGCGCTTCTAGTTTGCCAAAATTCATTATGATCAGAATCCTGCTAACTCTACCAATTACAAAAGGCTGATTAGAATTAGAAGGCTGATAGTACAGTATCAAGCTTTTACTTGCAATAGATTAAACTTAATCCATTCGAAGTGTAAGAAATAGAATCTTACCATTTGGCCCATCGCGTCTGTGCCGGCTCTTTGAAAGAGCTACCTATCTAGTCCCATTCCCTGCTCTTTCCCCATAGCCCTGCAAACATTTCCTTTTCAAGTACCTATCCAATTCCATTTTCAAAGATATTATTGAATCTGCTTCCATCACCCTTTCAGGCAGATTGTAAAAATTCTCTGAGTAAAACAATATCTCCTCATCTTCCCTCTGGTTCTTTTGCCAATTCTCTTAAATCTGTGTCCTCTGGTTACCGATCTCTTGACAACTTTCTAAATTTTGATTTTGGTTTAATTTCTGTGGATTGAGGATAACTTAGATTTAAATGTCTTAGGAAAACACATGGGTTTTCTCTTGGTTATTGCTTCACTAATATAATGGATTAATTACCGTAGAAACTATTCACTACAATGGCCCGTCAATGTGACACCTTCACATAGTTATGAGGTCAACTTAAAAATAGCGGAGTCACTTTGACACTGGCATGACTGAAAGGTTTATGAGAGACTTTTCCATACAAGAATGATGAATCAAATGCTTATTGCAAAACTAATCCACTGCACATTGCAATGAATGGTAATCCAGGCCTCTAGCCTCCTGTGGACATGCTAGCGATGGTCACCTACTCCTTAATGGCGTACTTAGGGAGATAATCACTGGTACGTCAAAAAGGAGAACTATTTCTTTATTACCTTCAAAGAAATTACAGAAAAGGTCAGGACTATTTCGAAACATAAATTAGTTTCTTGTTAAACTGCTATTTCTTGAATGTTATGCAAGTAACCATGTTAGAGACAGTGGAGGTTCAATTTTCTCCTGCTATAAATACCAAGCCTCTTAGTACCAATTAGTATAAACTTGAAGCTTATCCCAAGTGAGATATAGTGGGGCTTGTTCATAAGTTGGTTGCTGGTGGGAAAGGGTTGTCCATAAAATTCCCAAACCATCTTAAATGAGGTTTATCTGCATACAAGCAGCCGGCCGCTAGAGATCCATGCGCGGCCAGACCAGTACGTGCTAAGAAAAGGTCAACTTCCAGGTTATCCAGTTGCACTGATATCACTTTCTATGTGCGGCATATGTACATCAATCAGGAAGTGATGTCAGCGGCAACATAACCTGGACGTCGGACATCATTAGTGTGGGAACTGGCTAGTGCGCAGGAACCAGGCTCAGTGAATGGGATTCAAAAGGTATTCACGTTTTAACAACTAAAGAAGTGCATTATAACAGGGCTGCACTGTAATTATGTCTTGTTCAAGTAAATCAACTTACCCTCGATCTCTGTCCATTTCACTGCAACTTCTGCAATTGGAATCTTTAAACACTGGGCAATGTAAAGAAGTTCCACATCAAAAGCCCTAAAATACAAGAAAAACGGCTTGTAAGATTTTACACAATTTCAAACAGGTGCTCTTTTTGTTAAGAACACAAGAGTCCACATAGCTCACTGTTGAATGGCGTTCAATACACTTTCTAACATATATCATCTCATTTATAATGAGGGCAAAGAAATACTTTTTGCCTCCTCTCTAGAAATACAGGTCTTTAAAGAGTAGCCAGTGAGCACACCAACAGATTACACTATGTAAATGTAAATACGTAGCTACAAAGGAATTACAAAGTGCGTAAATTAGACTTTGAGCCACTCCACCATAGACCATTCTATGGTGATACCAATTATCACCACTCCCATCCCCTCCCCATCCCTTTTCTAATTTCTTACTATATATTCCTTTAATATTTCTTCTCCCCAACTTGCTCGCTCTTCCTTTCTTGAATCTCTCAATTGAATTCTCCTCTATGGGGTATTGCATTCCAAAATGCTGTGCTTTGAAAGATATAAAGTGAAACACAGCCCCTTCATAATATGATTTATGAAGATGATACAAATTCTTAGCGTCCACCAAAGCAAGATAAATTAGGTGCATTTACTTACCGAGAATAGTAATATTAACTGGGGATGAGTGCAATGCATCAGTACAAAGCATTTCTAAGTTTCAAAATTCTAGTCCAGCTAGAATTGCCATAGTATTGCAGGAGATGTCCACATCTCCAAGTCACATTGATGAGTCAGACAGACTGGTCAACCATCAACAATGCCCAGGATTACTGCAGAGCTGCCTCTGTGCTTTCACATCCCCAGGGAAAATGTCACAAAGTCTCTGCCCAACTGCTTTTAATTTTAAAATACCTGATGGGAGAATATTTTAAAGCTATCTGAAAGGCAGAACTATGAAGAGGATATATTTAAAATAACAGTCCCAGTCGTTATCTTACAGGGACATGAGACATAGTGAGAGAAATGAAAGGCAGATCACCAATTTTTAAAATAAAGATGGTTTGGAATTTCTAACTCATTAGAAATTCCTGAGTGCAAAAATGTTTAACCCTAAGTATTCGAAAAGAGACAAAATCCTGTTATATCCAAGCGGATATGAATAACCGTGCAGACATTCACTTTCTCCAGATCCTTTGAGCCATGAAACATGCCAGTCAAAGCTGGAGTATTGCAGCTCTTAGCTAAGTTACAGCGAGAGATTTCCTTCCTTGGTGAATGCTGATCAGCTGAATGTTACTGCTTGACCTTCAGCTAAGCTGCTTCAGCTAAGGATGCAGAACAGGACTGCTTGGGTAAACTCTTAAGTAGCAGAAAGAAGATTTTCTTACAAATAACGTTCCCAAAAAAGGGAGGGGAGGTGTGGCATTCCATACTGTGACTTAGCCGAGTTGTAATGCTCTTATATAATGTGGCTTGACTTTCTGTATGGTGACATTTGAACATCTGATTTGGAACCTCATTTCTACACCTCGAGACTTTCACGAGATTGAAATTCATTCTTCAAAATGCGTGATGGGTTTGCAAAACTATTTGCTTAGGACACGATGCAGCACAGCGCAGTTGAACTTAGATGAACTTCTGGCAATCATTAAATATAATAATAATAATATGGAGAAAGCTTGGGATTTCCAAGCTCACGGACACATGTTTTCAACTGCACCTAGTTGTCTCCTTCATCTAAGGAGTGCAGTTGTGTCACTTGCACAAGCTGCAGGCAGCCTAATCAACACTGTACATCAAAATTAAGGTCAGCTTCAGTTTACACCGCAAGGTTGAGGGTGCCTCTTTGACCTTGACAAGAAAGAATAATAATCCTTACATTTGATATAGCACTTTTCTTATCAGGAGGACACCAAAAAGCGCTTCACAGGACATTCTGTAAAGTATAGCGACTGCATGTTTTGTGGGTGAACATCTCAGCCAATTGCGTACAGCAATGTCCCACAACCAACCATAGAATGAATGACTATTTTTATTTGGGGGATTGTTGGTCAGGCCACTGGGAGAAACTTCCTTCTCTTTTTCAACAGGACCATGGGATCTTTAATGTCCACCTGAACAGGTAGATAGGATCTCGGTTTAACATCTCATCCAAAGGACAGCACCTCCAGAGCTCCTCCATCATCATTTCCTGTCTGGTGCGTCTTTTGTCAGCTGGGGAGCTGTGTAGTGCACATGAAGACAGCTGGTGAGCTGCGTGTGTACCCAGTGAATGAGAAAGCAAAGTGATTGCTCCACATTCACGTTACAAGAAGCCAGCACTGTAACAAAGCACGTTATAACCGGGGCAGCACTATATTTATGCTGTTGTAGACATCATCAAAGGAAAATAACCTACCAGCGCTCCACGTGCAAGGTTGAAAAGGTCCGTAGTGCTGCCTGACGTGTTAGAAGCTTGAACCCACACTGCGTATCCCTTATTCCTCTCACACACAGGAACCACACCAGGAAGTGAAAGCCATACATGAGTATATTTCGAAAATAGGAACGCTAAGTAGAAGAGTGAAATACAAAAATCAATACCCAGCAACATTAAAATCAAGCGACTACAGTCATAGTTTTCTTACATCTCATTCCCTGCCCTTAAACTTCTCTCAGTTCCTGCTCTCCTGAAGGCATTTTGATTCGTTCTCTCCTTCTACTCAGTGGTAATACAGTCCTCACCCAAGTGCCTGTTTTTCTTTCATGTGTGAGCTTTTGCAGTGAGCGCAGCAGGTGGTTTTGACCACAGGGACAGAGCTCAGCATAGGACAAGGATCACTGGTGTAAACTTCAACTTTAGTTCAGGCGACACTGGCCTAACTCAATCAAACTTTAAGCCGTGTTCTGTCAATAAGCCCCATAAGGCAGTTTTCCCTCCCAAGCAGTGATGGAGAACCTTGCTGAAAGCTTACAATTATTTAAATACAATAACTTTACTCAATGCTTTCATATCTGCTAAGAGTAAATTACACAAGGTATCCAACTATACCTACTTGAGCTATAGCTTCCTTCTCCAAATGAGCTCGGGAGCCGCATGCAATGGTCATGTTGCCCTGTGGGGGGTGTGAGGAGGGGGAGAAAAAAATTGTTCCAAAATTAGTATTAAATTTCATTAACAGGTCAGGACTAAAAAGCAGCAATTATCTGTTGCTTTGTAGTTCTGAATCCATCTATAAACTTCAAGCCATATTATGATTGAGACAGTTTAGAGTCAGCACTCTCAGTCTCACAGTGACCGCCTGACACAAGAGAGAATCAAATTCTTATACAAGTTTTTTCAAAGTGGTTGGTGGTTAAGCACCTTTCTTGCTGAATCAATTTCGGCAGAAGTGCAGCAACAAAATAAATAAAGTCTTCTGTCTGACATAGCTCTGATAATGCCAAAATATCTCAAAGCAGTGACTGTGCTTTTGTAGAAAGACATGCACCCAATTTTCACGCAGCTATTTCTCACGAACAGCTATGAATAAATGACCAAATTTATTTGGAGGATTGCGGCCAAGACATTGTGTGAAATTCCCATCTCCTTTCGGACAGTGCCATGGAATCTTTAATATTCATCTGAACAGGCAGATGGGTTCTTGGTTTCTTGTCTCATCTGAAGAACATCGCAGACAATACAAGCTCTTCAACAGTGCTGAACTGGGGTGCACACTTAACTCTGAACTCAAAATCCCAATTTGGGGTTTGAACCCATAACCTTCTGCCTCAGAAGAAAACTGAGATGGATTTTAAAGGGCTACAAACAGCTTATCTCATTCTAATGGGTTGTCAAAAGCATTTGTTGCAGCTATATGATGTTTCTGGTTCTCTTTTTAGCTCCCATGTAAAAGCCAATTGGTCTCCGAAATTGTTAAATAAAGCAAAGCAGTTCATTTTCATGTAGCGCATTATCATGCTAAAATGTATCACGCAAGTTATTTTTAAAGTATAGTGACTTTTGCAGAAAAAGAGTGCACTCAAGCAACAACAACAAATTGCACTTGTACAGTGCCCTTCATGTCAGAAAGACATCCCAGGGCGTGAGTACGCTATTCTGCGTGAGGGGCGCTATATAATAGATTGTGTTGTTGAAAAATGCAGCATCAACAAACCAAATGCCTCAATGACCAACTGTCTTAGAGACAAAATTAGTTCAGTAGTTTACTTGGGATATGTTACTAGACCTCAACAGTTTATGCAAAATAATCCACTGCAAATTAATGCAGGAACCATCTATTACAAGACAATCTGTACATAGAGACAAAGAGGAAAAAAAATAGAAAATGCAGGTCGCACAACTGAAGTTATTCTCCCCCAGCTCTGGGTGGAGGACACAGTGAAGGGACTTCCTCATTACTGTTGGGAGGAATCACTTTTAATACACAGCACTCTGCTATTTTTTAAGCCTCCCACGTAAAATGGCTTAAAACTCTTTGCTGTACTCTTGTGTAGTCTCAACACGTCAGATCAGGAAGCTTGCAGATTACTACTTTGCTCGTGTTAGTCATGGAATTCAGTGGTGCGGGGGTGAGGATGATTGTTTGGCATTCCTTTTGTTACTGAATAATAATCCCAATCAATCACTATCCATTTCACTGTCAGATGAGCAGACAGAAGTTGAGAGAGAAGGTGATGCTATTTGGTAGTGGATTATGATATTGAAGTTAATAAACAAATGTCAGCCTCGCTCAGTTTGCAGCAATCAGGTCAGAAGGTTGTGGGTTCAGGCGCCATGTCCAGGCTGACATTCCAGTGCAGTGCTGGGGAGCAATGCAATGTCAAAGGTCCTTCAGCGATTTTGAACTGAGGTTCTGTCTGGAACTCCATTCACTCTCTGGAACTTCAACCCAGTGTCCCTTTGACTCACCACTTTCACCTGGCTCCTTCAAGCTCGTCCTCAAGACCTTCCTCTTTGACTGGACTTTCAGCAATCTTTCCCGCCTTAAATCCACCACCCTCCCTGGCCCCCTCTCCCAGCTCAGGTACAAACCTTTGATTGTCCAGTAGCTGGTGAAATGGTCTTTAAGTGATATAAACATATATATTTAAAAGCGCTACATAAATTGTAAAGTTGTTTTGTATTATCTGCCTGTTCAGGTGGATGTTAAAGATAGCATGGATGCTCTTCAAAAATAGTTTTTCGCCCTTAGTCTCCTGGCTTAGTCTCATAAGCACTCTGAGACTCTACCCTGCGTGGGGGCGTTATATAAGTGCAAATTGTTATTGTTGTTGCTGGCCAACAATCCCCTAGTTAAAATTGTTCATTCACTCCCTGGCTGTTTCTGGGACATTGCCGAGTGCAAATTGGCTGCTGTTTGCCTCCAAACACGGTCACTATACTTGACTGTAAATCCTGTGAAGTACTTTGAAACATCTTCCCAACGTTGATAAGATGTTATATCAAATGCAAAGATTATTATTAACGTGAAAAGCATTATATCAAACACAACGATTATCAATATTTCAGAAATGTAATTGATTCCATGTAACTGGTTCTCAATTTGCCCCCTTTACTAATGTCACTAATCAGTGTAAAGCAATGTTTAGTAAATAGCTTAGTTTACAGACACTTGGGACATTACACAATACTCACTGCCTGTGGTTCGAGACTTTTCAAGCCTGCATCCAACTTCTCAACATCAGAAAACTTAGTGGCTCCATCAGCATCAGCCATTAGAATGTACCGTCCTCGGGAGCTCAACACACCCTGAAAAGAAATAACATGTGTTGAAGTTGGCATTAGAAAATATACGGAGAGAGATCTGGAAATTAGGATTGTAAAAATGGGCACTTTAGTAATACAAGTAGCAGTGGAATGGACATAATGGGCTGAATGGCTGCTTCCCGTGCAGAAAATATCTTTTACTAATGAGTTACCTGAAGTACTCTAAATTACTAGGAATATTGATTGGTCTTTGCATAAATAATTTTCGTGGTTTTTTGAAGCTTTTTAGTAGTACTTAAGCTAAAGTTGGCTTCAGTATCCCTTGGCTAGGGAGTGTGGGCAAACCAAAATAGCCAAAGTTTCCACTCATCGTGACTAACAGTGGAAAGTGTAAGCACAAATATTGCGTAAGAACAGAATTGGGCTCGTCTATGATGACCCTCACAGTCAATACTAAGAATCAAGTATTCCTTAAACAAGAAAATTGGTAACTTGTCCCAAAATATTACATTAACTAACAAAGCGAACATAGTTTTGTGGAATAAAAAGACCTGGTTTCAAAACAATATCAAAAAGGGGTCCATCAGCAGAGTAGTTTAATACTCCAATAACAACAACAACTTGCGTTTATATAGTGCCCCTCACGCAGGGTAGTATTTCAGAGCGCTTAATAAGCTGTGCTGAAGGGTGACTGGGTATACAATGGAGCTCACAATACTGCACGACTGAGGAACACCAGGAGGAAAAGACAGAGACGAAGGATAGATGCCTCTATGAGGGCGAGGACCTGTGAGATTTAATTTTGGCACAACATTCAAAGTGTGACTCAAAGCATTATACATAAACATATCAGTGTGACCACAAACAGGTAATTGAATGTGAACGTTTGTTTTTGTGGAACTCAGTCTGGTTTGAACACTCTTAAGCACATCGATGGGTAAGCATACCCCACCCTCCATCCCACAGTCCCTCCGCCTTGCCCCCTCCCTTACCTTCTTCAAGACCCATCTCAAGCCCCTCCTCTGCGACCTTGCTTTGGATCACCCTTTCGATCACACTGCTTGCATGTTAGCCTCCTCAACTCCTCCCCCCATAGGCTGCAGATCATCCAGAACTCTGCAGCCCATGTCCTCTCCTGCACCAGGTTCTGGGACCCTAACATTCCCATCCTCGCTCGACTCCACTGGCTTCCCATCACACAGAGGATACAGTTGAAGATCCTGATCCGCACCTTCAAAGCCCTCTGTGGCCTTGCTTCCTCCCTACCTCTGCGACCTCCTAAACCCTTACCATCCTGCCTGCTTCCTCGGCTCAGCTGGCTCCGACCTGCTTTACATCCCCTGCCTCGCCCCCACCCTCCCAATCATTGGTGGGCGGGCCTTCTGCCACTCTCCCTCACCCTCTGTAACTCCATCCCCCAGTCCCTCCACCTCACCCCTTCCTTGCCTCCTTCAAGACTTTCCTCTTCGTCCGTGCTTTCAATCACCCTGCTTTCCCCCTTGCCCTCCACCCTCCTCAATCCCGACCTCCAGCTCAGGTCCGAAACACTGACTATCCACTGCCTTGGGACGTCCTCCTGATGTAAAAGGCGCTTTACAAATGTAATTTTTTTGTTGTAGTTTCTGCAGGTCAGACATCTGACCGACCACAAAGAAAATTAGTGGAAGGCAATAAGTGGATACTTACCATTCTGACAGCTCCACCTTTCCCACGATTTCTCACTAGTGTTAGCACTCGCACTTTATCAGTCCCATACTCCTTGGAATACTTCAGTGAAACCTGTGACGAATGGATTTAAACACTAAGATTTTTTGTGTATGGAGTGGAGGGGGGGGGGGTGGAGCAAGAAATTTAATATAAGATTTTAAATTATCTTTTAAAAACAGGCATGAGGTAATCATCAAAACCACCCAGGTAAATCTCAATCAGCCTTTTCCACAGTAGAATCAAATACGTGCAGCAAGTGTCTGCCTGGCTCAGTTGTTAGCACTCTGGCCCCTGAATCTGAAGGTTCTGGGTTCAAACTTAAAAATGTTGTAAATTCTCTGGTAGATTTATTTGTGAAATTCTTACCGCTGTTGTTTTATCACTGCTCCCATCATCTACCACAATCACTTCATAGGTAAACTCTGGGTCTTGCATCTATAAAAGGTTAGTTCAGTTGTTAGTTCTTACATTTGAATATGAAAATTGCTTCTTGATTCATTTTTGCGTGAAGAGACCATACCATTTTCAGTATAGGTTAAACCTCACATAAGTCTGATCTGTAGAAATCGTACAATCGCCCAAGACTACATCTGCCCAACTCCCATTCAAGAGTTTATATTCTATGTCTGTTTGATATAACTCATAATTTGTATCAATCATTAATTGTATGGTCCCAAATGATACGACTTATGTGAAATTTACTATGGTCTATTCATCCTCCATATACAATTTGGCATTCATTCTGGGGAACATCCAAGGAAGTATTTCCTTACAAAACAAATCACTACACGTTACAGTAAATCCTGTGAAGCGTTTTGAGTTGTCTTTCCAATGCGTAGGGTGCTAAATCAAATGCAAGGATTATTATTATGTACTCACAAAGAATGAGGTTTGACCTTACTGAAAGATCTTATTTATTTAACTGCTAAAGATAAATGAACACAGAAAATGCAGGTGCTAAACACATAAATCATATTTTGAGTTCCGATTAGAGAACAAAGCACCAAAAGCCAACAATTGCTAAGGTCACATTAAAATGAAAGCAGCAATGGAAGCAAGTTGATTACTACATGTGCAAATCAACAGCAAGTTGAGTACTCAATTTCCTCTTTGGATGATGTTTTGCTTTACTGTTGTGCCACCTTCTGGCCATAGCTTGCACATACCCTACATTATAGGATGGAAAATGGTGTGTTGTGAATGTGTAATAAAAAGATTACATTTGTATAGTGCCTTTCACGTCGGGAGGACGTCTCTTGCACGTGTTTTAAACCCGTATCAGACGTTAATCTGAGATTCCATCTGCCTGTGCAAGTGGATGTTAAACACCGCATTGCACTATTTGAAAAGAAGGGAATTGTCCTGGCCAACAATTCCCACAAATAGGTCACTCACCCCATAATTGTTTGTGAGACACTGCTGTGTGCAAATTGACTGTCACTTTCGTCCATAAAATACAATCACACCATCCCTCACTTTGAGATGTCTCAATGATGTGATAAGGTGCTATACCAATTGCAAGGATTATTATAGTATCGATTTTCAGCTTTTACCGTGCTTGATTTCTTATCTCTGTTGTTGCATCATTTATTAATAAAAGGAAGTGGACTGCAGATTTAAAAAATAAGACTAGTTTCGGGACATCCCTGTAGTCCTCATTTTCTGTCATGAATTGAAATTCCTGGAGCTACAGCTACATTTTACGGCCTTACAATAAACTTACACATTCACATATCACACCACTTCCCAGGCTCACACTTCAATGCAGTGATGGGGGGGGAGGGGGGGAGTGCCTCATTGTCGGAGGTGCCATCCTTTAAACTGAGGTACCATTTTAGGTGTTCTGGTGGACGTTAAAGATCCCATGGCAATATTCAAAAAGGGAAGGGTGTTTCTCCAAGTCTTCTGGTCAACCACCCTTTGGAGAATTGGTGATTCATTTCAAGCCTATTTGTGGGATGCTGATGTGTGCAAATTGTCTCTCATCTACAAGAGACAGTCACTACACTTTGCAGAAAATTCTGTGAAGCGATTTGAGACCGTTCTCCCATTGTGAAAGGCACTATATCAAATGTCAGGGTTATTATTTATCAACATGAAACTAGTGAATAACAAGCAACAATAATGTATGGGGGAGGGGAGAGGCGGTGGCAATCAATACCTGTTTATTTTCCAAATACTGCAAAGCCTCATCCATCATCAGTGGTACTGAAATTAGAAGGGAAAAAAATCATCAAAAACTAAACTCTCAAATCTTCTTGCAAATTGTCTATGTAAGATAACGGTCCATTAGATTTTAGTCTAATACATGTTGAAAACAATATAATAAAAAAAAGCACCTCATTTCAATATAAGACAAAATATGAACATTACGATTATCTAGAGGCAGCCTAGATTATGAGCTATTTTTGTGACTACAGTGTTAACAGAGTCAAGCTACCAATTTTGTGAGAGAGAAATGTGATGACATCACGGTGAATCTTTATGAGCGGAGACACAATAATGCAACAATGACTATGCAATTTTAAGAGACAGGAAGAATTAGCATAGAGGAGTGCTGCAATTTCATTTTTGAAAGTGGTTTCTGTAATGTCCACCCCTGAACAGTCATACACTGACCAACAATCCTCCAGATTAATTGGTTATTCACTCATGGCTGTTTGTGGGGCTTTAGTGCGTGCAAAATAGAGTCCTGTAGCTTAGTGGTTAGAGCAATCGCCTCGCAAGCGAGAGAACCTGGGTTTGATGCCTAAGCAGGTCGAAACATTGGGTAAGTTTCCATACTCCACATGCCTCTGTTTACCTAGCAGTAAATAGGAACCTGGTTGTTAGTCGATTGGTGGATCACTATTCTGGGGGTAATAATCCCTTCAAAATAATAATAATTTGGTCCCTCAATCCACATCTGTTTGTGGGTCATGGTTGTGCACAATTTGCTTCCGTGTTTCGCCCACAAAATACAGTCAATTCACTTTACAGTATATTCTGTGAAGCGCTTTGAGACGTCTTGAAGATGTGATAAGGAGCTACATCAAATGCAAGGACTATTGTTATAAAATGGCTGGTGTGTTTGTCTGCAAAAATAGTCACCAGTCTTGACAATAATTACTGAAGTGCTTTGAGATGTTGCAACATTATAATTGCTCCTGACGTGAAAGGCACTATTCAAATGTAATTTGTTGTTATTTGCTTCAAAATTACAACCTTTTGCTTTTAGGACCTGGATTCAAGCCTTGTCTATATTCCAGGACAACAATCCTTCTTTGCCACCTGTAATAACCGCACCAGGATCTCAATCCAGTTCCTGTATCTCAAGACTGACACATAACAATAATAATCATTTCATTTGACAGAGCACCTTTCATATCAGAAGGACGTCTCAAAATGTTTCACAGGATTCACTGTTAATACACTGGCTGCTGTGTATTTTGTAGGTGAACCAGCAGCCAACTTGCCCCCATTATCGTCCTACAAACAGCCATGAATTGAACCATCAATTTAATTTGAGAGATCGTTGGCCAGGACACCCTTTCTTACATACAAATCATAGAATCACTGAAATCACAGCACCGAGGCAAGCTATTTGTACCATTGTGCCTAAACTGGTGCTCGCTCGTTCAATGAAACCAGTTGCGCTAATCCCAGTTTCCACGTTCTTTCCTCATACCCTTTCATAGGCTGTCTTAAAACATTGATCCAATTCCCCTTTAAATGGTGTTATGCTCTCAGCCTCAACAGGAACTTGTAGCAATGTAATCCATGTTCTCAAAGCCCTCTGCTGGAAAAGGTCTCTTGACGTCTCTCCCGCTCAACTCTTTTAGTGGCTTACTTCCTCTAGTCAGTGTCGCTTCCACAAATCCTGCTCAAAGATGCATGACTGCTCTACGAAATCGAAGCATTTCGGCGATGGAGAAGGGGATGTATTTCTGAGTCTGGGGCTCTGTCACCATGGCAGCCACACCTTCTGGCACACAAGACCTTGTTTCTTTATAAAAGGAAGCATCAGTGATGTAATTAAAAACCAAAGCAATAAAAACGTACGTCTTTGCTCTTCATTGTAAGACGGGACCACAACAGACAGTTCTTTAGAGGAAGGGTCATGGATACTAGGGAAGAATTCCTTCTCTCCAGAAATTGGATTCAAGAAGAATTTCTCTTTGTCAAAACGGTTGAGGATTGGCATTTTTGTGGCCGTCAGGTGCGCAATAATCAGGAGCTGTAAAAAAGAGACAAGAAAATCTGGGTCAAGTTATACAATGTATCGTGGGTCCTATAACCATTAAGGTCTCTGATTTGAGGCATTTCCACTCTTTTGGTGAAAGAAAAGAAATGCACCATCAAAGAAACTGGTTCCATTAAAGATTGAGATAATAATCCTTGCATTTGATATAGGCCTTGTCACGTCGTTGAGATGTCTCAAAGCTCGTCACAGAATATACTGTAAAGTGAATTGATTGTATATTTTGCGGGCAAAACGTGGCTGCCAATTGCACACGACAGTGTCCCACAAACAGTCGTGGATTGAGTGACCTAATTATTATTAATTTTTTAAAAAGGGATTATTACCTCCGGAAAGCAATTCGCCAAATAACTATCAACCAGGTTCCTACTTACTTCTAGATAAAAAGAGACATACGGTGTAAGGAATCTTGCCTAAGGTTTAGCCCTGGCTGAGAATCAAACCCAAGTCCTCTGATGACAATGACCCTCTCGGAGGGTTTGAAACTTGTGCATTAACATTGGACGCAGTTAAGGAATACTGTGTGTTAAGGGCAATCTTAACCAAAAATCCCCTCCAGATACAAATTGGTCATTCAGTTCATGGCTGTTTGTGGGACATTGCTTCTATCACACAACTTGTTAGTCTCTGCCTAATGGGCACTAACAGATTTTTGTGTTGGGATCCTTCAGTTTCACCTTTAGAGGTTGTTGCACATGTGGAACCCATTCCAGTAGTTAATTTATAACATTAACATAATGAATAATTCATATGGTTCCATTTAAGACAGATATTATCACTGTACTGGGCCATTTCCAAGCAGGGGTTGGGTCCGGGAAGAAAATGATCTGAATGCTCTGCTCAAATCCTAACACTGCCAATTCAAATCCTGTACAAAGAGCTACATTATGTTAATGTCACTGTATGCATGGTCGGTGACAGTAGGAGGTGAACGATGACATAAACCTTTGCATCAAAGCCTGGCAAAGTATTCAGGACACAATTCTTTTTTCATGAAGTGCATCAGTATGTGTTAGTTAAGTGCTAAAGGTTCAGAGAACTGTGGGAATGCACTGATAAAAAATTGCATTTATATAGCTCTTTTCACAATGAGAGGCCATCCCAAGGTTTGGGAAGGGTTTGCACACGAGCTGGGAGTTGCAATCAAGTGGGATGGAAGGCAAGGGGAGTGGGAGGACCAGCACGGTCAAAGAGGAAAGTCTCGAGTCGGGCTTTGAAGGTGAGATCGGAGGGGCTCCAGGTTGAATTTCTAGAGTGTGGGAATAATTCAGAAGAGAGGATGTCAAGTCGGTAGCTTTGTTTGTGGAGCCATGGCCACAGAGGAGGGCAACATCAATCATTAAATAACTTGGTGAGGGGCTAGGATTCACTTGAAATACACTAAGACAGGATCACAAAGAAACTCCTCACAGACGGTTACAGTCCAATTGGTATTATGCAATCACCAGAAAGAATCCTAGAGTAAATATATCACATTTAAATCTCCATCTGCAAGCTATGCAAAATACTGCAGATGCTGGAAATATGAAACAAAAACAGAAGTTTATTATAATGCTGTATATTTGCCTACAAAATATACAAGTCAATTCACTTTACATATTCTGTGAAGCGTTTTGAGGTGTCTCGAAAACGTGATTAAGACGCTATGCTAAATGCAACGATTATTATTATTTATATGTTGAAAGTGCTGTTTGGAGGGTAAACTGGGACCAAACATTTTTCCAACCGCTCCTTTTATGTAAAGGAAGATATAACAGGTTAAGGAGAAAGAACAGGTACATATAATTGAATAAATTATATATAATATGTAAGAATTGAATAGATTGTTCCAATGGGCTGTTCACATAGCAAGTATGCTGAATTCCAATCTGAAATTTCTACGGTATCACACATTATAGAGCTCCTTTCCAGCGACATTTTGAATGGAGACAAAACCCATTTATTGACTGGGTACGATGGGCAAGTCCATTTCAATGATGTGTTCAATGGATGCGGGGGCTACTCTTAAACAAGAATGAGAACAATTTGTGTGCGCGCGCGTTGGGGGGGGGGGAGGGTTGGGTTGTAATTCCCAGTGGGCAGATGCGCTCTCCAAACAGGCAAGTAGGCACTTCACATTCGTAGAAAGGGAATGTGTAATTTCTATAGTCACTAATGTACTAACACTGACATCCCAGATTTGGTGACTGGGCACTTTCTCTCGTCTATCCCCACACTTTCCCCGCCTACAGCTAAGAGGAGTAGTTGACCCAAAGGCTCTCAGATTTTCCACCTTATCCGGGGAGAAGCCCATTGCCTCTACTCCGCCGCACCTCTTAACATTACAGTACAAAAATACAGGATACAGCAAAATCATGTCACCGAGAAGCCCAAAGCGCTTCACAGACGGGGGTGTACGGTGAAGTGGTGCGACGGCCGGCATTTTTGGAGGCGGACACGGCAGCTCTCAGCAAGACCGGGAGCCCGGAGGCGCGAACTCACGGCCCGGCTCGGCCCGGCTCGGCCCATCCAAGGCACCGCCGCACGTTTCCGGGGGACCGGTCGCTGGGGCCGGGCGGCGGAAGTGGACCCGCGCCGCCTGCGCTCGGCTCGTCCCGGGTCCGCTCGGGGCCGGGGCCGCAGCCCGGGCCTGTGAACCCGGGGCCGCAAGGCACCAGCAACAATAATAATAATAATAATAATAATAATAATAATAATCCTTGTATCGGGTGAGAGCGGTGGAGGGGGGGGTTGGGCCCGAATGGCCTCCTTCTGAGCTCTCCCTGAGAGCGGTACGGGGCGGGGCCTTGTCACGTGGCCGGGACGTCTCGAAGCGCTTCCCGGGATCCGCCGTCAGGTGTAGTGACTGTGCGACGGCGAAAATTCTGAAGGAAGAGGAGGACAGCGGTGGGGTGTTTCTCTCTCTCTCTCTGTGTCCACTCGCCGCACAGCGCGGGAAAGGCGACACTCACCAGCAGTAGGACTGCGGGCACCAGCGCGGCCACGACCACCACCAGCGGCGGCGCTCCCGCTCCCGCCCTCTCCTCCATCCTCCGCGCCTCGGCCGCTGACAGCGCCACGGTGACGGGGAACCGAGGAGGCAGCGGCAGGAGGGGCGTCGTCGGGGGGCGAGGCGGGCGAGCGAGCGGCTGCAGCGCCACCCGCGGCGCGGAGGGGTGACTGCAGCACCGCCCCGTTTGGTAAGGGGATGCACAGAGCAAGTGGAGCCCATCGTGGCCAAAGGCTCTGGGGGTTGAAGGGTCTGCACCCCAACTGGGGGACTGGCATCGAGAAGGGCTGGAGGGGGTTGGGGAGGGGGTTGGGGCTGGTGGGGGGGGGGGGGGGAAGGTGACTAAAGGCTCGGTTGAAGACGAAGGTCTCAAAACAGGCTCTGAAGGAGGCGAAGGAGGGGGCGCGGGGATCGGACTGTGGGGGGTGAGGTTACAGAGTGGGGGTGGGGGGGGGGGGGGGGGCAGGCAGCCTGACCGATGATGATGGAGCGGGCAAGGGCGGGGGGACGTGGCTTAGATGTCGGGAGGGGCAAGACCGGAGTGGAGGGCTTCAGAAGTGAGTTGGAGGATCTTGAACGCGATCCTCTGAGGGGGAGCCAGCGCGGCCGGGCAAGGACGGGGGGGGGGGGGGGGATCGGGCGGGACACCGGGCACCGGCTGCAAAATTCTGAATGATCTGGAGCCTGTGGAGGGAAGAATTGGGAAACCCGGCAAGCAGGGAGTTAAGCAATAGTCGAGGCTTGTGGTTTGCCTTTTGGTCGGTCCGGTACCTGTCACGATCTCCTGCCCGTTAGGGACACCGAAACAACCGTCACGTGCTTCCGTTTGTCTCCCCGGAGGGTCCAACGCCGCTCATCTATTGCTGCAAAGAATTAGGTGCAGGTTGGCGAGAGCTGAGGCTCGGAGGGGCCAGAGTGAGTCGGGGGCTTTGCAGGAGTTTAGTGACGACGGCTTGTCGTTGCCAACGCTGCCTTGACGAGCTTCCTGCTCATCGACCGGCTAACGTCACCCTGGCTTTGGCTCGCAAGGTTAGCAGGAGCCGCGTTGGCTTACAAATGGCTCACAGTCACTACGCTTCATAGTAAAATCCTGTGAAGCTATCTTTCCGATGTGATAAGGCGCTCTATCAAATGCCAGTGTCACTATGTTTTTATCGTACTGGAGGAATACAAGAAAACATCCTTGTGTTCTTCCAATATTCCTCCTCTTCCAACGCTTATTCAGTTCCCTTTTAAATGTTTGATCGTGGGCTCAATCGCCATTTCTGCCAAAGCATTTAATATTCTAATTTAAAAAGTCCTCACATTTGATGTCGGGAAAACATCTCAAAAGGGCTTCACGTGATCCTTAATGGCTATTTGTGGCCGAATGAGCTTTAAACCTACAATCGCCCAAAGCTGTTTTTTCGTGCACAGAACAGCAAAATTACACCGAATCACTAAAAATATTATGACATACAACAACAACAACCTTTGCATTTGAACATTTGATGCAGCGCCTTACCGCGCCGTTGTCGTCGAGAGGCGCCTCAAAGCGCTTCGCGGAAAATACATTGTAAGGTGTAGATTTTGGGGGCGAAATGTATAATAATTAAGTGTCATATTTTTATCATTATTAATAATATTAATTCTTTAAAAAAAAATGGCCGGTGTAAGTTAGAGCCTCTCCCCCTCCCCCTCCCCTCCCCTCTCTCCCCCCTCCCCCTCTCTCCCCTCCCCCTCTCTCCCCCCCCCTCTCCCCCTCTCTCCCTTCCCCCTCTCTCTCCCCCCCTCTCTCTCCCCTCCCTCTCTCTCCCCCCTCCCTCCCCCTCTCTCCCCCCTCCCCTCTCTCTCTCCCCTCCCCCTCTCTCCCCCCTCTCTCTCACTCCCCTCCTCTCTCTCTCCCCTCCCCCCTCCCCCTCTCTCCCCTCCCCCTCTCCCCTCCCCCCCCTCTCCCCCCCCCCTCTCTCCCCTCCCCCTCTCCCCTCTCTCTCCCCCCTCCCTCTCCCCCCTCTCTCCCCCCTCCCCTCCTCTCCCCTCCCCCTCTCTCCCCTCCCCCTCCCCTCTCTCCCCCCTCCCTCTCTCCCCCCCCTCTCTCCCCTCCCCCTCTCCCCCCCTCTCTCCCTCCCCCCCTCTCTCCCCCCTCCCCTCCTCCTCCTCCCCCCTCTCCCCCTCCTCCCCCCTCTCCCCCTCCCCCTCCTCCCCTCCCCCCCTCCCCCTCCCCTCCCCCCCTCCCCTCCTCTCTCTCCCCCCTCCCCCCCTCCCCCCCCCCCCCTCCCCCCTCTCCCCTCTCTCTCCCCTCCCCCCTCCCCCTCTCCCCTCCCCCTCTCTCTCTCCCCTCCCCTCTCCCCCCCCTCCCCCTCTCTCCCCTCTCTCTCCCCTCCCCCTCCCCCCCTCTCCCCCTCCCCCCTCTCCCCCTCCCCCCTCCCCCCCCCTCTCTCCCCTCCCCTCTCCCCCCCTCCCCCTCTCTCTTTCCCCTCCCCCTCTCTCCCCCCTCCCCCCTCTCTCTCTCTGTGCTGCAGCGCGTTTCCTGCCGGAGACAGACTGAGAGGCCGCGGGGATGGCGACGGGGTTCAAGTAAGTTTGAGCGGCCCAGAGAGAGGGGGAGGGAGAGAGGGAGATGGGGGGAAGGAGGGAGAGAGGGGGAGGGAGAGAGGGAGATGGGGGGAAGGAGGGAGAGAGGGGGAGGGAGAGAGGGGGAAGGAGAGAGGGAGATGGGGGGAAGGAGGGAGAGAGGGAGAGAGATAGGGATGGAGACAGTATCTGGAGGGAGAGGTTTGCTCAGGTTCAGCTTTACATGTGGCTCTTCCACAACCAACTGCTGACTGACTGCACGTGTGTGTGGCTGCACTGCAGCCCTGTGTGTGTCTGTGTGTGTGTGTCTGTATGTGTGTGTGTGTCTGTGTGTGTGTCTGTATGTGTGTGTGTGTGTGTGTGTGTGTCTGTGTGTGTGTGTCTGTATGTATGTGTGTGTTTGTGTGTATGTGTGTGTGTATGTTTGTGTGTGTGTGTATGTGTGTGTCTGTATGTATGTGTGTGTCTGTGTGTATGTTTGTATGTGTGTGTGTGTATGTGTGTGTCTGTGTGTGTATGTTTGTGTGTGTGTGTGTGTATGTGTGTGTGTATGTTTGCAAGTGAGAGACCTGAGTTCAATTCCAGGCAGAGGGCGAAACCTTGGGCAAGTTTCCTTACTCCACACAGAGCCTAATAATAATCCCTCCAAAACCACAAACAATAATAAATTGATCATTTTCAATCTACGACTGTTTGTGGGACATTGCTGTGCGCAATTGGCTGCCGCGTTCGCCCACAAATATACAGTCAATTCACTTTACAGTGTGTTCTGTGAAGCGCTTTGGGACGTCCTCCCGACGTGAAAAGCGCTATATCAAATGCAAGGATTATTATTATTATTATGTTTGTGTGTGTCTGTATGTCTGTATGTATGTGTGTGTGTCTGTATGTGTGTGTATGTATGTGTGTGTCTGTGTGTGTATGTGTGTGTGTCTGTATGTCTGTGTGTGTCTGTGTGTGTATGTTTGTGTGTATGTGTGTGTGTATGTTTGTGTGTGTATGTGTGTATGTCTGTATGTCTGTGTGTATGTATGTGTGTCTATGTATGTGTGTGTCTGTATGTCTGTGTGTGTATGTTTGTGTGTGTGTGTATGTGTGTGTCTGTATGTCTGTGTGTATGTATGTGTGTGTGTCTGTATGTCTGTGTGTGTATGTATGTGTGTGTGTCTGTATGTCTGTGTGTGTATGTATGTGTCTGTGTGTGTGTGTGTGTGTGTATTTCCTGCAGTACTGTAGAGTTTAAGGTTATCTGGATCGCTATTAGTCAGTGCTGCAAATAATCAATAGGTAAATCTGGAGAAATCTGAATTGCAAACAGGAAACGCACAGCATCTGCTCAGTCAGAGCCTGGAAGAGAAACAAACATTGGTTGAGGTTTTGCGTTGGCCCCAATGTTTTTTCTTGGGTCTGACACAAGCCATCGCCACTGTGCGTAAGAGCATTCCTGTTAAACTTGCAAGCTGAAGGCCCCAGTAAATAGGGTGTGTAGTGTGAAGCTTGCCAGGCACAGCCACACCAACGGATTATAATAATAATAATAATCCTTGCATTTGATATAGCGCTTTTCACGTCTTCTAGACTTCCCAAAGCGCTTCACAGAATATACTGTAAAGTGAATTGACTGTACATTTGTGAGCGAACGCGGCAGCCAATTTGCGCACAGCAAACAGTCATGGATTGAAAATGACCAATTTTATTATTGTTTTGTTTTGGAGGGATTATTATTAGGCTCTGTGTGGAGTAAGGAAACTTGCCCGAGGTTTCGCCCTCTGCCGGGAATTGAACTCAGGTCTCTCGCTTGCAAAGCGAGTGCTCTAACCACTGAGCTACAGGACTCCACAAGGACTCCACAGGATTACATTTGTTTAGCGCCTTTCACCTCGGGAGGATGTTCCTAAGGCGCTGGGCAGTCAAGGATTTGGACCCGACCTGGGGGTTGGGATTAGGAGGAGTGGAGGGCAGGGTGGTAGGGGTAGGAGAATGACCAAAGACACGGTCGAGAGGAGGGTCTTTTCAACGGCCTTGAAGGAGGCCAGAGAGAGACCGAGGTGAAGCGACTGTGGGATGGATTTCCAAAGGGTGGGGGCAGTTAGGCTGAAGGCCTGACCACCTGGTGGGGTGGGACATGGAGCAGGCCGGAGCCCACTGAGCGGAGGGAGCGTCCAGGTCCATAAGAGGTTAGCAAGTCACAGATGTAGGAAGGAGCAAAGCTGTGGAGGGCTTTGAAGGGAATCAGGAGATGCTCAGTCAGAGACTGGAAGAGAAACAAACATAGTTTGAGGTTTTGTGTTGGCCCCAAAAGTGTTTTGGTCTTGGAACACCGTTATCACTGTGCTTAAGTGTATCCTGTTAACCTGCAAGCTAAAGCAATGGGTAGGGTTGTCCATTGCTGGAGAAGCAGCCTGAAGCTCTCCTGGCAGCGCTCTCAATTGCAAACTATGTGGGTCTAGCAGGTTAAACTCCAGCAGTATCCAACACACGCTCTGCTCTTGCTCTTGTCAACCTGCACCTAATACTTTCTGGAATGAAGTAAGCGGGATGCTTACATTTCCCTTTAGGGAAAGAGTGCGCATTTCCATTCCAACAATCTATCTGAAATTTCCATGCGTGGGTGGGATGCATGGAATTGTCAGTTTGGTTTGGATACTCTTAAGCATAGTGATGGGTTTCCGCATAGTGTCAGACACCCGGCTGACCCCCCAAAAATCTTCTCTGTTCAAGAGGGAAAAGGCCCAGAAAATGTTTGTCTCTAATCAAATGTAAGGATTATTTTTATTGCACGTGCTATAATTATTAAATTATTACGAGGCAATTTCAGGTACTGGAAAACTTGGTTTGCTGTGGCTTTTCCTCTCTTGTTAAAAGGGTTTCCTTTAACCTTCTATTGCGGCTCTGACAAATGAGCCACGAATAAACATTAAACCATCTTCCCTTTTCAGGCACTGCCTGACCTGTTGCTTGTGTGTTGCATTTTATGTTCTTATTTAAACTTTAAGAAAGGGTACAAGTTAAAGATCGCGCTGTTTTCTTTTGCAGAATTTCTTTGCTGGTAGAAATATTATTAATTGCGTCTGTCTTCTATTTGACAGAACGGTGGAGCCCTTGGAATATTACAGAAAGTTTCTGGTAGGTTGTGTCTTGTTTTTTTTTAAAAAAAACTCTCGTCTCAAAGTGTGACATTTGTAGAAATCTTTGCAGGCTGAGTGCTTGGAATTGGGCAGACTGCAGTTGATGTGTCGTGTCCAGTTTTGAACACTCCACTTTAGAAATCCAAGATTGTAGAAAGCCAAGAAAACTCATGGCTGGCACTGAATTAAGGAACCACAGCTCACAGAGAGGATAAAGCAAAGATTCACAGATGGGGATGCCTAGGATAAAAGATTACATTCTAGTTCTGCCGAGAGACTTTAAACAGCCAATTTGCACGCAGGGTTATCCCACAAACAGCCATGAAACAAATGCCCAATTTTGTCTGGAGAACACCAGGGGAAACTCCTTTCTCTCTTCAAATACAACGATAGGATCTTTAATGTCCATCTGAACAGGCAGACGAGACATCAGTTTAACTCTCAAATCCGAGGGACAGAACCTTTGGCAATACTGCACTGAAATGTCACTGATAAAGTGAGCTCCAAGTTTAGATTTGATGCCTGAATGTGCAACCTTCTCATTCCGGTGACGAGTGTTCTCGCCCCAGGCTGACACTTCGTATTTGCAATATACTGTATATTTTGTGGGCGATATAGAGGGAGGGCTGTGGATATTTCTGTAATCACTGCAAAATCTAACTTGAGTCATAAATACCGCAATCTAAAGCCTGGGACGTGTGCTCTTACTTGCGTTAAAAGGCATTTAAATCAAACACTCACAATAATTCATTCTAAAGAGAATATCTCTACCTCTGCATGATATTTACATTGTCGCTGAATTGAAGGCACCAAAAACCCAGGGATTCAGAGGACGTGAGCCTGGAGTCTGAAGGTTGTGTAGTTTAATTAGTCACAGTGACTGATGTTATGTGTGGTGCTCTGCTGAATGTTTTTTTTATATATTTATATTTTTGGGTTTCGCCCACTATAGAGTCGATTCATTTTATAGTATATTCTGTGAAGCGCTTTGAGACGTCTAGAAGATGCAAATGCATGGATTATTAATATTATATTATTATGTTACTTATGTGTTTCTTAGAAAGAAAACTGCCGACCCGATGGAAGGGAGTTGGGTGAATTCCGAACGACTACTCTGAATATAGGTAAGATCTCTCGACCTGACCGCAGTTCCTTCATTCAGGAAATGTAGTTGTTGGCAGGTGTGCCCTACACATTAGAGTTGTAATGTGGACTGAACGTATCACAACAAAACAACTTATGTTTGTTTGTATGGCGCCCTTCACATGGGATAATATCTTGGTAACACCTCACAAGCAAGAGAGAAGGGGGAGGTGACCATAGATGCAATTGAAGAAATATGTTTTATGGTGGGATTTAAAGACAGATAGCGAGGGAACGAGGATAAGAGATAGAGACAAGGAGTTAGTGAAGGTTTGGGGACTGATGAGGGAGCGGTGGATATGCAGTAGATCTGTGTTAGTTGAAATCAACAGTTCTTTCCAAGTAATCTATACTAATAAAGATGAAGTGTCTGTCTGTCTGTGTATCCGCCAATCACGCAATAAATGATTGATGTGGAGACATGATTTATACCTCATCGGAAAGGTCTTGCATGGGGGAGTGTCAAGGGCATTTTTTTTCGAGGATCTTCTATCGTTGATGCGCTATATTTAAAAAAAATGCTTTAATTAAGCCCCAAAATATGAGGTATGAATGGTTTCTGCAACAAAGTAGCCACAGAGGAAAGCACACACCCTTCCAAAGAGACACATATGTACTAATATATTCTGTAACAAATGTATGGCAGTTTTTTTGCCTTGCAGTAACTCGACCTGCCAGATCACTCAGTAAAGCACTTTGGTTAGCGAAGCTTTGATAGGAGTCCTCCCACAGGAGTCCTCCCACAGGAGGCCTCCCACAGGAGTCCTCCCACAGGAGTCCAGATAAAGACGAAGTGTCTGTCAATCTGCATTCCATATTGGATCCTTTGGTTGCAAGTGAAGTTCTAGTTCCCCATCAGTTCAGTCTTATTCCTTCTCGTCTAGAACGAGTGTACTTTTAAATGTTTTGCGGTGTTCATACTGTGTTCATGCTTCTGGTTTTGATTTTACATTGAGATTTTAAAACCGAGGCTAAATTACAGGCTCTTAATTCAGGCTACAGTGCGATTGTAATAATAATAATAATCCTTGCATTTGCTATAGCGCTCTTCATGTCTTCGAGATGTCTCAAAGTGCTTCACAGAATACACTGTAAAGGGAATTGACTACAAATTTAGTGGGCGAAACTTTTGTAACTCTTACATCACAAACGTATTATAGTAAACAGCAGCAAATTACATTTGTATAGCGCCTTTCACGTCAGGAGGACGTCCCAAGGCGCTGAAAAACATATATAAGTCATATCAGTCGGAACCACATTCGAATCGGCATTGAATCACGGGAAATTAAGTTCATGGATCAAGACTCTGTTACCCGCAATTCAATATAGCCAGCTGGTAACTGCGCAATTGTCGATGAATGCATGTCATTTCCCCGCCTGCAAGTGCGGGAATAAAAGAGTATAGTGGAGCGGCGTTACATGTTAGATGATTAATACAACTCGTGCAAAGAAATCTTAAGTGATTGGAAACTGAATGGGACTCGGGTGCATGTACGACTTAGGCGATTTATAAAGATAAGACTTGTGCGAGTTTTACTATTTTGGTTAATCTTGGGCCACATAAAATGTAGAAGTGCACTTTGGGACAGCCTTGCTACGTGAAAAATGCAAACTAAATGCATATTGTACAGAAATGCTACTTATTTATTATGCATTGACTACTACTATAGCTTTGTTCTGCCCTCTCGTGTTACAAATTGGAATTGCTCGGACTGTAGTGGCAGGCAGTGGAATTACACAAGTTTGCACCAAATTGCTGCTGGTGATTACAGTGTAGTTTTTAAAAATATGTATATTTGAACAGAATTAGAGTCAAATGCAATCACAGTGGTGTAAAATGTTGCTCTTCTGGGGATATGATTTTCAGGTTCAATTACGACTGCAGATGGGTCTGCATTGGTGAAGCTGGGCAACACGACTGTTGTCTGTGGCATCAAAATGGTGAGAATATTTAAGCAATTTTACCAGTTACATATACACGTTGTACTTGAACTGTTTAACTCTTGTGTATCTGTAGAAATCTCCAGAATGTCCGCGGAGTGTGTTGTGTGTTTGTTGTGTTACTGATTACGGTGTTTTGGTCAATGATTTATTTAAAAAAAAAGACCTTTGCTTTGCTATAAAGTGTGGGAATTAATTTACATACGTGGCCTTTTGGGGGCTGCTTCTAATAGTCATCGGGGTCTATGGAAACTCTGTGTGGTTCTTCATCAGCTGTCTGGAAGAAAGGCAAAATAGGGTAACACAGTAAGAAAGGGGAAAATTCCCATGAGAGGCTCTGGATTTCTTGGTCGGAGAACTCGCTTTGAGACGTCTCGACGACGTGATAAAGCCCTATATCCAATGCAAGAATTATTATACCTCTAGTTGAATGTGCACAATGTCTGGCGACACTGATGCAAGTTCTTTTGTTTTATCATTTAATTTTTTTAATTGTGTTTAAGTGCAATGCAGGAAGGAGGATATTAACAAAAGGCTAAATTATTTCTTGTTTTGCAGGAATTTGCGGTACCAACGGTGGACGCACCGAATAAAGGCTACGTAGGTGCGTTTATTGGAAAAACAGTGAATTATTTTTGAATTAACTGTACGGTTGCAGCGTGTATTTTTTCCTTTGCATCTCTGAGGTACAATTCCACAGATATCTGTAGCGCTTCATTATCTTTCACTCAAGTGGCTATCTTGCTTGTGTGACCCTGGACAGATCTGTTCAGCTAGCAGGCTGTTCAACTGTGGAGGGTATCGGAGATGAGCCCAATTCTGGATCCTTGCACTTTTCAGCCAGGGCTCAGTTCAGCTCAGAGATGCTGAGGACAATTGGGGCATCCCATCTGCTTCCCTTACTGACCCAATGCCGAACAACAACAACAACAAATGACCTTTGTATAGCGTCCTTCACGTCAGGAGGACGTCTCAAGGTGCTGGACAGTCAGGGATTCGCACCCGAGCTGGTGGTTGGGATCAGGAGGGGTTGAGGGTGGAGAGGGTAGGGATAGGAGGGTGACTGAAGGCACGGTCGAAGTGGAGGGTCTCGAGATGGATCTTGAAGGAGGCAAGGGAGTGGGCGAGGCAGAGGGACTGTGGGATGAACAAAACCCAAAGCTGCTATCTTCTGGCCTGTATGGATCAGTGATGTACCTTGTAGTGCCGTGATGTACTGGGCCATTGAGGTAGCTTTATCGCTGGCTTTCCTTAACTAGCTGTGGGGACCATGTTGTCCAAGAATCTTTATAGACAATATTCGTCATTGGAAGATCCAAGTTTTCCCTTGACACGTTGGAGCTCCTGCACTGAAACTTTACACAAGTGAAATGTTGCCTTTAACTTTGAATACCCATCACCAGTGAATGTGCCTGTTGATCCCAGAGAAGTGATCATGAATGTGACTGGCTGTGATATCACAAATGGCATATGACCAGATCACCTTGGGTATCAGGGATGATTGGTTTTCTATTGCAGTCTGTACTCGTACTTTCGATCAAAGCAATGCAAGGAATTTACAATTTAACTGAAATTGGCACTGCTGTTTTACTCTTGTTAAAAATCTAATTTTAAATAAATCTTATTAAAAAAAATTACTCATTAAAAGTCAAATCTTATGAAAAATCAAAGGGTAATGGAAATCTGGAACTCTCTCCCCCAAAAGTTTGGATGATGGACCCATTCACATTTTCAAGACTGAGGTGGATAGACTTTTGTTAGGTCGATATTGAGGGATATGGGGATCAGGCAGGTAATTGGAGTTGATCAGCCATGATCTAATAGAATGGTGGAACAGGCTCGAGGGGCAGAACGGCCTACTCCTGTCCCGATGGTCCTATCAAACATTTTTTTTTAACTGTAGAAAATAGAAGCCCTGCGTTGTATTGAAGATGTGTCCTGGACACCCAATAAATGTGAATGTGCATGTGTAATGTTGTGATGGTTTAATGTATTCCAGTGCCAAATGTAGACCTACCACCGCTATGTTCTTCAAGGTTTCGACCTGGTCCCCCCGGGGAACAAGCACAAGCTGCCAGTCAGTTCATTGCAGATGTCATAGAAAAGTAAGAATCCTGCTTAAGAATGTAAGCACAGTTGGAGCCATGTGTGTGTGCCATGTGCATTGTGTGTGTGCTGGAGGTGGGTGTGTGTGTCTTCTTGTGTATTAACCTTTCCACTTTGATGACACGACTCAGTCTACGACTGTTTGTGGGACACTGCTGTGTGCAATTGGCTGCCACTTTTCACCCACAAAATATACAGTCAATTCACTTTACAGTATATTCTGTGAAGCGCATTGAGACGTCGCGAAGACATGATAAGGCGCTGTATCAAATGCAATGAATATTATTATGACATCTGATTGTATAGTAGAGCCTCGTTATAATACAATAGTTAGAATCTATAGAATCCCAGCCTTGCTATAGTTTGTTTCAGTTGTTGCACTCTTGCCTCTGAGTCAGAATACCAAGGTCAGGACTTGCTGATACCAGAATACCCAGGTCAGGACAGGCTGATGTTCTTATTCAGTGCCAGAATAGTGCTGCATTGTTGGAGGTACTGTCCTTCGGATGATATGTGAAACCAAATATCTCGTGACCCTGTTTCAAAAGAGAAGGAAGTTTCTCCCAGTGTCCTGGCAAACCCTCCCCCCCCCCACCTTGATCCCACAATAAAATTGATCATTCACTTCATGGCTGTTTTGGGGACGTTGCTGTGCTCAAATTGACTACTGTATTCACCCATGAATATACAGTCACTACACTTTACAGGAAATCCTGTCAAATAACAAATAGCGTTTATAACAGGCCTTTCAGGTTGGTGTCTAAGAGGGCCTTAAGATGTTTTGACTGTGATAAGATGCTGTATCAAATGCAGGGATTATTTTTAACAATGTTTATAGTGAGGCATGATAGCTAGTTTCACTGTGCATATGTGCAGCCAGCCAGCCACAACTCTTTTCCTCTGGGATCCAGAATAAGGGGTCAGTCTTATTGGTGGAGTAAAGTTCACGGGTAGGTTTTGAGTGGCTGGAAGCAGTGGGCTTGATGGGCCGAATGGCCTTTTCTCATTCTATCCTTTTTCATGAATATCCATAACACCATCACATGTTTGGTAAATAATAATAATCATCCTTAAATTTGATATAGCGCCTTTCATGTTGGGAGAAAGTGTTTCAAGGGATATACTGTAAAGTGGAGTGGAGTGACAGTGTATTTTGTAGGCAAATTGGTAAATTATTCTATACTTTTATCATCCATTTTTAATGATGCTAATCAATGTCCTTTGCTCTTCTGTTTCTTGGTGTACATTTGAGATTTCACTTTCAAAAGTACTTTTCTGTAACTGTAAAGCTAAGCTGTTTGTCTGCCAAAGGCAGTGTGGCAAATCTGACTGCAGAACGCTTCAAATTTGTCATTTTCTTTTATGTAAAAAAATTTAGTTCCCAGTTCCTACAGAAGGAGGATCTCTGCATTGAGAAGGGGAAGGTAAGATAGCTGTAAACCATCACTTGTAGTTTTATAGACACCAAAAGCCACCCTGCTAACACACGGTCAAAGGACATGAGCCTGAAGATAAACACTGTGGATCTCTCTCTCTCTTAACCACGTCTGAGAGTGAAGTGTGCGCACGTGGGGAGGGTGCGCGCGTGGCTGGGGGCGTGCGGGTGGGAAGTGATCCATATCCAGCTTTCTGTGATATGGCCCACAGATTTGACCTCAAAATGTGTTAGCAAGAAGCTAGACAAGAAGTACATTGAATATGTTCGGTGTCGATGAGTTTACGTTTGAGTATCTCTTGCTTGACGGGAGGGTTTTAATGAGATGTTAGTCAGACATCAGAGATCATTTCCCTTCCTGCTGCATATGAAGAGCATTTTGAGGAGTATCTTCTATGTTTACCCACAGATTATGTGGATCATTAGCCTTTGTCCTTTGGATATCCACCCAAAAGCCAGTTTTCCATTCATGTAATTTGCTGTTAATGTCATCAGCTATAATGTCCATTCATAGTTCCAGAGCAGATAAGAGGAATGGAATAACAACAACATGGATTTGCATAGCGATCTTCACGTGGCTGAGTGAAAGTATAGCCGTTGGCGCCTGGCAAGGACTCGGGTGATGGGGAATTTGGTATGGGTGAGATTATAGGCAGCGAAGTTTGGGATCAGTTGGATATTCTGCTACTTCTGCCCGGGAAGAGCCTATTTTCATTTGAGATTCAGATGAAGAAGGCCCTTTTGGCCATTTGATCTCATCCTACAATACCCACCCTAGCATCCCTCCATCACAGTCTGCTATCTTCATGGTAAACTATTCTGGTGTCTGCCTAACTTGGCCTTCACATCTATGAGACCTATGACATCTTGTTCTGTTGTCTTTGTGTATGTGAAGATATCACTGGAACAGAACCTTGCTTGGCTAGGTTTCCTTCAGGTTTTATAACTTTTGTGTAAAATTGCATTAGTCTAAAATCATATTTTTAAAAGTCAAGTTGTTTATAAATATTAGGAACTGCAAAAAGTTGTAGATAAATTTAAAGTGCTGAAAGGGAAATAGCAGTTTTGTTATTCTTTAATAGCTGTTTGAGCTCAGCTTCACTGAGATTTTAATTTTTTTTGTGCCTCGCAGACCACACGTGACATTTTATATAATAGTTATAGCAAATTTTGTTCTCAACATTTCAGCAAACCTCTTGTGTAAATTCTAACTCTTGTATTAATGCACCTGTTCTCTGTTTCAGCTTGTTTGGGTTGTATATTGCGACATGATGTGCTTAGATTACGATGGGAACTTATTGGATGCCTGTATAATTGCACTTTTGGCAGCACTAAAAAATGGTGGGTATGGCTATTTTTGTAGAGTATGAAATGCTATATTTTTTTCTCTGTAAATTTTTCATGGGGCTCACAGACCTCAGCCACTTCTGCTTCTCCCTAAGGCTTATGTCTCATATTAGGGATATTTTATCTTTTCATTCCAATAAGGACATTCTGAATAGAAGCCAATAGCCTCCCCACAGTGACTTGGCTGAGGCTATGAATTATATTCAGTATTTGGGAAATAAGGCTATAAAGAGATACAGAAAAGGTGAGGAACAACAACAAGATTACATTTGTATAGCGCCTTTCATGTTGGGAGGATGTTCCAAGGTACTGGACAGTGTACAGCATTTCAGACCCGAGCTGGGGTGATGGGGGGAGAAGGGAGGGGAGGGGAAGTGGGGTGGCTGATGGCATGGTCGAACAGGAGGTCTTGAGGTTGGACTTGAAGGAGGATAAGGAGGGTGAGGTGGAGTGACTGGGTGATGGAATTCCAGAGGGTGGGGGCAGAATGGCTAAATGCTCACCTGCCAAAGGTGGGGTGGGTAGGTCAGGGGACAAGCCAGAGCCGGCTGAGCGGAGGGAAAGGGCGGGCTGATAGGAGGTTAGGAGTTCGCAGAGGTAGGGTGGGGCGAGGCCATGGAGGGCTTTGTATGTGAGGACCAGGATCTTGAACTGGATCCTCTGAAGGATAGGGAGCCAATGGAGTCGGGCGAGAATGGGGGAGATGGGGTCATGAATTTGATGCGGGAGAGGACACGGGCTGCAGAGTTCTGGATTATCTGCAGCCTTTGGAGGGAGGATTTGGGAAGGCCGACAAGCAGGGCCTTTGCATAGTCGAGCCTGGAGGTGATGAAGGCACAAGTATTTCAGCGGCCTGAGGGGTGAGGTAGTGGCGGAGTCGGGCCATGTTACGGAGGTGAGGGAAGGCAGAGTGGGTCATGGCTTGAATGTGGGGAAGAAAAGACAGTTGAGAGTCGAACAAGACACCTAGGTTCCTGACTGGTTTGGTGAGGTGAAGTGTGCAACCATGGAGATTGATGCTGCCAGAGCCTGAGGTGCTGAGCCACTGGCGTGAGCCAAGTTGGGTGTCATCCGCATAAATGTAAAAGTTGACCCCATGTCTGTGGATGATGTCACCAACGGGAAGCATGTAGATATTAAATGAAAATATTAAAGGAAATGGAATTAGAAGATGCAGTGTAATCTGTGGGACAGACTGAATGTTCTCAGTCTTGCATCGAAATGGCAAAAGAACCAGAGGGGAAACTAGGAGAATATTTTTAAACCAAGTGAGTTGTTACGATCTGGAATGCACTCCCTGAAAGGGAAGCAGGTTCAATACTAACTTTCAAAAGGGATTTAGATATATACTTGAAAAGAAACGATTTGCAAGGCTTTGGGGAAAAAGCGGGGGTGAGGGAGTAATTGGACAGCTTTCAAAGAGCCAGGACTGGCACAATGGGCCAAATGGCCTCCTTGTGTGTTGTAGGATTCTGTGATTCTCCTGCTGTTTCCATACTCGTACCTCGAGTTTCCCCTTGGATGAACTGTCCTGTGGATCATAATGGGCTGTCTGTACAGCTGCGTGTATCATTTATAAAAACTTGAATAGTATATTTAGAACCATAGAAATATACAAATGTGAAGACCATTGCTTTCAACATATTATTTGCTTGTTGATGGTTTGCTGTTTACACGCTACAATTTTCCGCTAATACCGCAAGTTTTAGTACTGGATAATTATTTACATTCCAATTAAATGATGGCTGTTATGTGAGGAAATACTATTGATTGAAGTATGGTGATGTGGCTCAATACTGTATGATACTGTGATAATAGTGACCCCCAACTTTAAGGTGAAACCCATGGTTACATCAAACTGATGACAGTAAAGAGCTGATGATAGACACTAATTGGGACCAGCCCCATTGTGGATAAGGAGACAATGCAGATAGTGCAAATTGGCTACAGTGCAAAGTGAACATATTTTGTATTAGGAGGTATACAGTCACTATACTACCACATTGGCAGCCTATTCCCCCACCCCTTCAACTCTAACTTTCTCTTAACATTTGGCTCTCTAAATTTCATTCTCAGACTCTCCCCATTTCTAATTCTCGACTCTCTTCCCCCTCCTCGCTCCCTCCCTTCCCTCCCCTCACCCTGACCATTTCCCCCCTCCTCGCTCCCTCCCTTCCCTCCCCTCACCCTGACCATTTCCCCCTGCTCGGGTCCTGACCCAACTGTGCAGCGCCTTGGGACGTCCTCCTGACGTGAAAGGCGCTTTATAAATGGAATCTTGTTGTTGTTGTTCTGTACTACAGGTCGGCAAATACCTTTGTGTTGCTGCCTCACAGTTTTGCTGTGCAAGTAAATTACTTGTGTCCAACTGGATGAACCACGCATTCACTTCCACATTGGAGTCTGATGTGGATAAAAGGACATGATATATATGTGTGTATGTGTGTGTGGTGTTCCATTGTTTAGTTCTGCATTGAAACTGTTTTAACAACATTTGTTCTTTCACAGTCCAGTTACCATCAGTGTCAATTAGTGTAGAAACGGGTTTGGCTGAAGTTGATATGAACCAGAAGAATCAGTTGAACATCAGGAAGCATCCAGTCGCAACGTCTTTCGCTATATTTGATGAGTGAGTTTTGAATCTATTGACTCTTTACATGTCCATAGAATCATAGAATCGTATAATAATAATAATAATAATAATCCTTGCATTTGATATAGCGCTTTTCACGTCGGGAGGACGTCCCAAAGCGCTTGACAGAACACACTGTAAAGTGAATTGACTATATTTGTGGGCGAACGCGGCAGCCAATTGCGCACAGCAATGTATAGCACAAAAAGAGGCCATTCGGCCCATCGAGTCTGTGCCGGGTCTTTGAATAGAGCAATTAACGTCAATCCCACTCCCCAGCCCTTTCCCCATAATCCTGCAAACCAGTCCTCCTCAAATACCCGTCGACCGCGTTTTTAAAAGTTGTTATTGAATCGGCCTCGATCACCCTTTAAGGCAATGCGTTCCAGATTCGAACAACTCGCTGCGTGAAAAATTTCTTCTCACCTCCCCTCTGCTTCTTTTAGACATTATTTTGAATTTGTGACCTCGAGTCACCGACACACCCACCAGTGGAAACAGTTTTTCCCTTTCTAACCTATCAAATCCCCTCACGATTTTGAAGACCTCTATTAGGTCTCCTCGTAACCTTCTCTGCTCTAATGAGAATAATCCCAGCCTCTCCAGCCTTTCCTCATAATCAATGTCCCTCATTCCTGGTACCATCCTCGTAAATCTCCTCTGCGCCCTTTCCAATGCCTTAACATCTTTCCTATAGTGTGGTGCCCAGAACTGGGCGCAGTATTCTAACTGAGGCCTAACCGGTGTTTTATATAGGTTAATTATAACCTCCTGACTCCAGTACTCTATGCCCCTATTTATAAAGTCTAGTATCCCATTTGCCCTTTTTACAGCCTTATCTACCTGTCCTGCCACCTTCAAGGATTCATTTACCTGCACCCCCAGGTCTCTCTGTTCATTCACCCCCCTTAATATTGTATTACCAGTCTGTATTGCCTCCCCTCATTCTTTCTACCAAAATGCATTACTTCGCATTTCTCTGCATTGAAACTCATCTGCCATGTGTCTGCCCATTTTACCATTCTGTCTATGCCTTCCTGCAGTTGGTTACTATCTTTCTCACTGTTTACTACCCTACCTAACTTTGTGTCATCCGCAAACTTGGAAATGGTACTTGCTATACCCAAGTCCAGATCATTTATATATATTAAGAAGAGCAGTGGTCCTAATACCGATCCCTGGGGAACGCCACTGTACACTTCCCTCCAGTCAGAAAAGCAGCTGTTCACCACAACTCACTACTTTCTATCTCCCGGCCAGTTCTGGATCCACGCTGCCACTGTCCCTTTTATACCATGGGCTTCTATCTTTCTTACAAGTCTTTCATGTGGCACTTTCTCAAATGCCTTTTGAAAGTCCAAATAAACTACATCAACTGCACTACCTTTATTTATGAGAGCCGTTACCTCATCGAAAAATTCTATTAGATTGTACTGTTTGGGCATTGGATGATGTTCATCTATGCTAAAATTTCTCCAGCCACATAAATCCAAATTAAAATAATAATCCCTGTATTTGAATTATAGCACCTTATCATGTCATCAATGACTCAAAGCACTTCACAGGATTTGCTATAGGTTGTAGTCTTGGGACGTCGTCCTGATGTGAAATGCACGATACAAATGTAATATGTTGTTGTTGTATTTGACCAACATGGCAGAACAAATCTCACTAATCTGGCCTAAGGACCCTTTTCAACGTATTTCAAGCGGTTTTATTTTGATTAAAGTTCTGTAAATTATTTTAACACGCTTTGGGGATAGCTGGTAGCTTTGAGTCCACCCTGTACAGTTTAAAATGCTTGAACATGAATGAAATATTCCAAGGCAAATGCACTGTTGAGGGGATTAGGAGGGCTGGAGATTGTGTGGAGTGTAAACACTGGCATGGACTAGTTGGGCCAAATAGCCTGTTTCCACCCTACAGGATTCAAGCTTGATCCACTTCCTCCCTACCTCTGCGACTTCTTAACACCATACCAACCTTTCCGCTCGCTGTTCAGCAGGCACTGGCTACTCCATTCCCCCTGCCCTACTTACCCCACAATTGCCAGACTGGCCTTCAGCTTTTCTGCCCCTACTCTATGGAACTCATCCCCGAATCCCCCTGTCTCAAGACCTTCCTCTTTGACCGAGCCTTCAACCACACTCCCACCCCCACCTCTCCTATTCTCCAACCCTCTTGATTCTAACCTCCAGCTTAGGTGCAAACACATAACTGTTCAGTGACCTGGGATCTCCTTCTGATACGAAAGGCGCTATAGAAATGTAATTTGTTGTTATTAATTCTGTTATGTTACAACTATTTCCACTTTTATTTTAAACCTTAAGCACAATATTCATCGTAGATCCTACAGCTGAGGAGGAAACTTTAGCATCTGGGATGGCTACGATTGTAGTTGATGAAGAGGACAGGCTTTGTGCTGTGCATAAACCAGGTACATTGATGTCTCAGTTTAAACAATTGTATAAATCATCCAACTTGACAAAACTCACATCAGTTATTTTAGCCTAAGGCTTATGTAATATTCAAAATGTTCTGCCAGCAATTAGTAAAAACTTACATTTGATACATTGGCTTTCATGTTGGGAGGATTTCTCAAAGTGCTTAATGCTATTTGCTGCAAAGTAGTGACTGTATTGTGTAGGGAAACATATTGCCCATGTACACAAAATATTGTCAAGTTCAAGCGGAAGAAATTACACTTGATCTCGTAATGTAGCACAGGTCAGACAGGAACATTGCAGCCAACAATACTGACTAGCTCTGTCCAACTACAGACAACTGCTAGACTTGTATAATAATGAGTGGCAGAGTGAGAGACTAGTTGAATGTTAAAAGGTTATAAGCCTGACAGCTGAGTAGTTTCAGTCATGATTTAACAATATTCCATTGTTACAGATGCTAAGTATTATTGCCAATTCTAGTGTATGGAATGTAATGGGCTTCTCTGATGGGAACCATATAAACCCTTTGAGGAATGGAGCAGTCAATGGAAAAATCTAGCTGTAAACTGTTTTCAAAATTCATTAGACCTTTGATAACCCAATAATAATAACTAAGCACGCAGTAAATATAGCAAAAGTTCATGGAACATTTTTTTATTAATCCAGTTACATTGTATAACTTTGAATTCAGACAATCTATTTTCTTCACTGGTTAAATCATCTGTACAAGGGTTTGTTTAGTTCTTGTAATGGTTAAAGTTTTTTTTAAAAAAGGTCATGAGTCAAGTTTAGAAAACATTCAAAACTATCTGAGCCATTTATTGAAAAAATTGCACTTAAGCACAGACCGCTAATGCCTAGTTCAAATATTTAATCCAACTTTTCTAACGACATATACCTAATTTTTTGTTTTTTGGGGGATATTTTCCATATTACTCCAATGTTCAAATTGTGCAGCTGATTCGACTTTTCCTGTGTGTGTGTAGGAGGAAGTGGTGCCTCGGGTGAAAAACTCCAAGACTGCATTGTTCGTGCTCAAACGAGACACAGAGAAGTCTATAAGCTGCTCTCTGAAGTGATGAAGAGTGTGACTCCCTCGACAGACGGAAAACAAGAGGCGCCCAAAAAAGCTTCATTGTACAAATAATTCAGTTTACATGATTTTTTAAAAAAAATCCAATAAATACTTTTTTAAAAAAACTTCACACATAATGATGTTTTTAAAAAGTAAAATCAATAACACAATTTGCACTATGTACAATTGTTGGGTTATTATCAGTGTTTTGTCTTTTAAAAGAAAGGGATGATCAATTCACCAAGAAAGCACATATTCAAAGGGAAACGTCTTATCATTCTAACAAATGGGCGTTTTAAAGTTAAATAGAGAACGGTTGCTTCATGATTTTGGTGGAGTTGGGGTTCCTCTTTTTCTTTTATTTTTTGACTGGCTGCCTGAATGCTGCTGTTGGCGAAGCTGAACTGCTTGTGCTGCTGCCGCCATAGCCATTTGCTGCTGCAAGAATCGTAACTGCTGCCGGGAAAGGGAGGAAAAACAACAGAAGCAACAGTAAGACTCGGGAGTGAGGGAGAAGCACTCGAAATGAATCAGCGTTGTTGATAGTGAATAGATGAATCATGTTTTTAACATTTTTGAAAGTGTTTAAAGAATGGAGACAGGAAAGGAGAATTAAACCCACAAACTTAATGACTACAGTCAAGCAGCACCAGTGGCACAGGAGAGTTAAGGAAATTGACACGCAACGCTTGTTCTTGCAGAGCTAACTGCATGCTTGTTAGTCAATGTCTGATCTAAAAATGCTTTAGTATTTCCAGTTGGATGCAGATGTAGATGGTAACAGAACCGCAGCAAGTCAGCAACTTTCTAAAGAGGCGTCTGTGCTACGCTCTCAGCATTGTACTTGAGACAATTTCAGAATTGCACAATGGTGCAAGTTCTGGTTTAAACTTATTTGATTTGTAATTTTGTGACTTACTCAAATCCTCTTTTTTTTAAAAAAAGTGTACTGAAATGGTAGTAAGCATCAGCATCTTCTGAATAAAGCATCCCCCTAATGCACTCTGCATACACTAAGGAACAAAGATAATTTTAAAATAAGATTCCAACTGCAGATATACAAAAATATTCATGTATATTTTTTAGTGGGGGAGCAGGGAGAGGGGCAATCATGAGCAGTGTCTCTTTTACATCACGTTTTAATGTGCCACAAGCACTTCTTGAGCATAAATGCAAGAGAAAGGTGGATGGCTGGGATGTAATTCATGTAAATTCAATGCTCCAAAGTGATCAAATAATTTGTCCAATCGCCCCAAACCGTCTTTTTTTTTTGGAACTGTCGACCCTCCCCAGATTCGAATAAATATAAATACTTTTTATTTTGGGCAGGACCTCAAATAACGTTTCTCCATTGTTTATTTTGGAGCTGAGAATTTTTTTTAATTTCATGTAGCCAAGTTGCTGGATTACTTGTATCTGTTGCTGCTGCTGCAAGGCTTGTTGCTGTTGCTGCTGCAAGGCAGATGTGAGCTGGAGTCTCTGCTGAGGAAGGCTTTGCCCAGGTCTGTTCACAGCAGAGCCAAGCTGAGACAACACTACAGGGGAGGGAGGACAAGGTAAGGGGAAGGATAACAAGAGGGTTAAATGAGGGAAGGAATCAGGAAATAGGGAAAGATTGTAACAAAGGGGATCAGTAGAATTCACCTATTAGTGTAAATCAGAAACATAGCTAAATATTTTATGGAAATGTAGTAAGATTACAAGTATGTCATTTATTAAATATATTGAGGGTGCATTTTGTTACCTTACATTTGACAGAGGAACGAACGCAAGTTACTACGATTTCATAAGAGTCCAGATCTTAAGAGATTCCCCTTAACTGCGATGCCTTTTAACATCGATTTCTCATTGTAAAGTATACAATTAAATGGATCAATTTTGACAAATCCACAAAGCGTCAAATCCAATTTTTAAAGACCCACATTTTCTGTGCGGTTTTACAGAGTGGGATTCCTCCCCTCCCCTCGTTATTAAATCAGAATGAGCAAAGTGCAGTTCGATCTGAATTTGCTAATTCCGATTTACTGTACAGTTACTTAATGAACTGTGGATCCTGGGTATTTAATGTAATAGAACAATGCACACTCAGTTCTTAAGATGGTAAATGGTTGCATTTTGTCTGGAAATTCAAACATGCTGATCAACCGAAGCAAGACCTGTACACTTATCGGGTTTATTCTGGGGAACATTAGGCGATTGGAAATGAGTGGGGCATTCTCTCCTCGCCACCCTGAAGAGCTGCAATATACAAAGCTACGCAATATTCTGGGCAGAGGGAGAAGACAGCTTAAGGGCAAAGAGTTAAGAACAACAAAAGAAACTGCATGCATTCTAGCTTTTGAAAAGAGTTGGTGCAATCCCTTAATATGCATAGAGTAAAGCAATCTATCTGACTGGCAGACTACAAGGAAAAGCATTTGTTAGCAATCTATAGGTGCAAGGCTGCTAGACTAGTCAAGTGACATTTCTGAGAGAAAGTTGCTCAAGACAGGAATGAAAGAAAGAGCACGGGGGGGGGGGGGGGGGGGGAATAAAGGTCAGATTTTGAGAGTAATAGTATGTACCTGCAGCCTGCGGAGGGACAAAAGCTGCTGCTAGGTTGATGACTGCAGTCTGCTGAGCTGCCAAAGCCTGCTCCTGGCTAGTTGGAGCCTGGTCAGTGTTCTGCTGGACAGAAGAGAGTTCCTGCATCTCAGTTCTATTATGTGTTATCAAGCTGTAAAGTACTTACTATTCTGATATTTTAGCACTTTCTGGGCTATATTTTTGTTAACCCCCAAGTGACATTTTAGCAGGAAATGTTACATATGAACAAAAATATTAAGAAATACATGGCACGGGGGGTCCAGCCTTTCTGTATGAACAACTTTGTTTAATTGTAAATGAATCTTCCACCAATAATGGAACTAATTATTTTTTTTTTCTGGATTGACATTACTATTGATTCATCAACACACTATTTCTGCTGCAATCCTATTTATAGTCTCTTTCTAACAGATTTTCACAAACCAAATAAGATAGACAACAAAGAACCATAATGATGATTTACATAGACTATGGTCCAATCTGGTGCAATGATCTTAAATCCTGCGCTATAGAATACTACAATAAAAGGCTGGAATACTTTAAAAGCCTCTTTTTATTCTGATCTGGGCTATACCTGAGGCACAGAAACCCCATGCCAGTCCCCAAGTGTTCTAAATAGTGACTGGCAATTCCTTTTTCGTAACTAAGAGATGTGGCTCTTTAAGATTGCTCTCGTTCAAATTTCTGACTAATTTTCCCAAAGAAAATCCAACCTCCAACAAGGAATTTAACTTTCCATAAGAAAAGGTTGACCCAAGGATGGCAAACAACCTTATCGAGGATAAACTAAATGTAACAACCTACCTGCCTGTACTAAATGATCTAGCGGAAAAGTGTATGAAAATTCCATCCAGTATGAATAAAGATATTTAGAAGGAAACATGAAAGACAATCCTAGTTTAGTGCGACAATGAAGTTGCCAAAAAGGAAGCATCATGCATTTTAAAAAGCAATACTGTAACCCATCTTACCCAAGCCAACACAAACAAAGCAGCCCGATACATCTGCCTTGAAAGTATGCCATTGGTACTGCTGAAACTTTGTGGATTTAATGAGTGACACGATATAAAATACTGCTCATAAAAAATAACATTTACGGTAGGTTCCTGTACCCTGAACAAGTTAACCGTTGAAGCAAATCTGATAGCTTCTGCTTACTGGCTCAGGCAGACCTGCAACTGAAATTGTGGAGGATGGGGATGATGCACAAAGGGAAAGAGATAAAGATTATCTGGGAAACTGATCCGGCAAATTTGCTTTCAGGTTAACAGGTTGCTGGATACAAAACTGATCCATTATATAACAACTTTACACAAAGACCGATGGTGAATTTCAGTCGGCAGTCCTTCATGTGGTTCATCTTTCTCTGTTGTGTAGTAACATTTCTCTTCATTTTGAATCGGACTTCTCATTTTCATTCTGCTTTGGCTTTTGTTATTGTTTTAAGCAAATGTACAATGCTGTGTTTAAATAAAAATGCTAGCCGAAACCAATGCAGTTGTTGGTCAATGCAATAAAGTTGGCCAATGCAGTGCCAAGTGATTAATCTGCAGTGTACGTATAAATATACTTGTAGAGGGATGATACCCGCCGAGTAGCGCTAGATTGATCCAGTCGTCAGCTTTTAAAATCTGGTAAAGCTGAAAGAATGAGAGTCCATTCATGGTTATGGTACTGACTCTACCATTAGATTTTGCTTTGTAATACTGTATTGCTTAATGTAGGACTTACCAAAATGTTCCTTTGATTTCTTCAGTTAATAATAGGAATTATGTTTCAAAACATATTATTTGTGAAAATGATGTGTGTTAACATGGAGTGCAAACCACAAGCCAATATTTAAATGTTTAGAGTTCAGCTACTGAAGGCCAAAGAAAACATATTTCTGATTCGGGTCGACTCCATTTCAGACCATAATTCAAGCCATTTTGCTGACTCATCCTAACCATCACAGTGACAGATTGAAGCAAATAATAATAAAGACATTTGAATTCAGTTAGACTCCAAAATAATTAATTATTATTTAGGGATAATTAATATTGGTGATAATAGATACACCAAGTCACACAAGGTTTACAGATTTGAATGGATTTAAACTCTTATTAACTTTAAAATTTTAATTCATTTTCAGATGCAAAATACTCAATCTTGTGGAGTTAAGAATCCATATTATTTTCTAAACTTTTCCAGTTTAATAATCAGAGAAAAGGATACTCCCAGTTTCACTTTTTTTTCTAGCAACAGTTACAATTTTACGTTATTCAGTGCAAATCACAAATGAGGAACATGTGAAAAAAAAAACTGGTGTGGGGATGAAAGGAAATAAGAAGTAATTATACCAAAATATCATTGTAAAGTGAATGTGCTTGCAAATCTTGACTTTTCAGTGTTCAGCATCTATGTTGTCAACACAGAGAGCTCTGTGTTCTGCAGCTGTGCCGTGCAGTCTGTTCAGTGTCAATAACTCAGTTAGTTAGTGCTACTGTAACACGTAAAGAAAATGCACCTGTTCTCCCTGCTGCTGAGGGCTGGAAGCTGCAGGCTGCTGGGAAGACTGTTGCTGGGAAAACTGGGGGACTGGTTGCTGCTGAAGTGAATTGAAGATCACTGGTGGGCCATTCGACAACTGGGATAGGATTAAAAATGCAAAGTAAAGATAAAAGCATTTCCTAAATTTGGATTACACTGTAGTTATCTTTATAATCATATCACTCTCAAGTTGGGTAAAGAACATTGTTTTAGAACACTGAAGTGAATTTATTATGATTACTTTCCAACTTTATTATTTATTATGATCATTTTCCAACACTTGTCCGATAAAATATGGCACTTTGAGTGATGCAATAGATAGGCTGTTTCACAAGGCTAATGGAAACTAGGAGGCAGCAGGTATCTGATTTGCTCCTGTACCAATGTTGTTGTAGAATCAAGTAATTGCACTCATATTGTAATAATAACCTTGCATTTGATATAGCACTTTTCACATCTTCGAGACGTCTCAAAGTGCTTCACAGAATATACTGTGAAGTGAATTGACTGTACATTTTTATTATTATTATTATTTTGTGGTCGAAACGTAGCAGCCAATTGCATACAGCAGTGTCCGACAAACAGTCATGGTTTGAAGTGACCAAATGGTTATTGTTATTTTTTGAGATTATTATTATTAAGAACGCACATAATAATAATAATCCTTGCATTTGATATAGCGCTTTCCACGTCGGGAGGACATCCCAAAGCGCTTCACAGAACACACTGTAAAGTGAATTGACTGTATATTTGTGGGCGAACGCGGCAGCCAATTGCGCACAGCAATGTCCCACAAACAGTCGTGGATTGAAAATGAACAATTTATTATTGTTTTTGGTTTTGGAGGGATTATTATTAGGCTCTGTGTGGAGTAAGGAAACTTGCCCAAGGTTTCGCCCTCTGCCTGAAATTGAACTCAGGTCTCTCACTTGCAAAGCGAGTGCTCTAACCACTGAGCTACAGGACTCCACAACTTGTGTGTTAACTTGTGGAAAACAGCATTTGAACTATTTAAAATAACATTTGGTTTGGGAGTTTCACATCTTTATTTTCTCTCGTTTAATCTAAAGAAGTGATCAACAACCTCAGAACAAAGATAGAGCTTTTCACACTATACTTCATTTTCAATATTGAGAGTAGAAGAATATAATAATAATCCTTGCATTTGATGTCTTATCACATCTTCGAGATGTCTCAAAGCGCTTCACAGAATATACTGTAAAGTGAATTGACTGTATATTTTGTGGGCATAATATACTATATAATATACTGCACAATATAGGTATATCTGAGTCATTACTTGCTTTCATCTTTCCCTAATTTTACATTTTTTTTACAAGCTTATTTTATAAAAATCACAGAAATTATATCTTTGCAAATTTACTTGGAGAAAGCATAAAAAAGACTTAGTTTTAATGTGGCAGATAATTTGAGGTCCTGTTTAAGGGATTCCAGCACTATTTGTTCATAATAGATATTCTACGTTTCATATTAGCAATAGTGGATATAGGATTTCAAAGCAATGAGGTGCAGAGGATAAATTTAAATAATGAAATAGTTGAAAGCAGCAACAAACAACACATACATATTTACAATCGGTGATCAAAATACTAATTAAATGCCTACAATATTGGGTAAAGAATTACTTCCAGGCTGTAACACCAATGCCTACATTGTACCTCAATTTTAAAGTTTACATTATTTCTGATTTAGTGAGGCTTCACATTGAAAATGATTGGCACATCAATCAATTTTTGTACATTTTAGAGAGAAAACAAATCTTATGAACTATTGCAATTTATAGAATCAGTGTTTTAGTTTGGAACCCCAGTTTCTTTTCAAAAACAAAAACCTCCTGTTGGAACCACTAAGTAATAAATGAGCTATTAATTAGAATGATAAAAATAAAAAAGTGGGGACAATGCCTATCTACCACAGGAGGGCACTGTTTAACTTGGTAAATAGAGTACTATACTACGTCTATGTTACTGGACTGTATTTTCAAAACATGCTGAATTTCATGTGCCGGGAGAAACTCCCATCTCTTTTCGTATAATGCAATGAGATCTTTTGAGTCTTCATGAACAGGCAGAGATCTTGGTTTAACATCTCATGTGAAGGACTGCACCACTGACAGTGCCTTCCCCCACCTCCGCAACATTACCCGACTCCGCCACTGCCTCACCCCTCAGGCCACCAAAACCCTCATACACGCATTCATCACCTCAAGGCTCGGCTACGGAAACTCCCTCCTTGTCGGCCTCTTCCCTCCACAAGCTGTAGATCATCCAGAACTCTGCAGCTCGCGTCCTCTCCCGCACCAGGCTCCGTGACCCCATCACCCCACCCTCGCCCGGCTCCATTGGCTTCCCATCCCTCAGAGGATAGAATTCAAAATCCTCGTCCTCACTTTCAAGGCCCTCCATGGCCTTGCCCCCTCCTACCTCTCTGACCTGCTGAACCCTATCAACCTGCCCGCTCCCTCCGTTCAGCAGACTCTGGCCTGCTCCATGTCTACCGACCGACCCACCTACCATCGGTGGCCGGGCTTTCAGCCTCCCTGCCCCTACCCTTTGGAACTCCATCCCACAATCCCTTCGTCTTGCTCCCTCCCTTTCCTCCTTCAATGTATGTCTCAAGACCCTCCTTTTTGACCGTGCCTTTCGCCCTCCTATCTCTCTGCCCTCCCTCACCCTCACCCCAACCCTGTCCCCCCACCCTCGAATCCTGAGCCCCGACTGTTCAGCGCCTTGAGAAGTCCTTCCGACGTGAAAGGCGCTTTAATAATGTAATTTTGTTGTTGTTGTAGATTGTCGTATGTAAGAGAAGACTGGGACTGTTCGAGATTACATTGTAGTGAGGTAACTTGAGAATATATAACATACCTGTAGTAGATTCAGGGGTCCGAAACCAGGGGCATTTTTCAAGCCAACAAATGATCCTCCTGGCGAGAAAGAAAACTGTTATGTATCATGTCCGATACACTACCCCACTGTTCAAAAGCCCCGCGTTTCATGAATGCCTTTACACAATTTATTACAATCTGAACATATAATTTTAGTTTGGTTTTCAAACACTGAAAATTCAGTAGCTGAAGAATGCGTACACGAGGCGCAAATACTGATATTGCATTTCTTTTGGTTTAAATCAAAAAGCACTGGAATTAAATAAAGTAGGAGTGAAAATATTTACTCAACAACATTTGTCTTCTTGAGTACTAACCTGCCTGGGACGCAGACTGCATGGCAGCTGGCAGGGGGCTTGGCACCAGTCCTGCTGGTGGTATAATGCTGCTTAGATTTAGCCCTGTGGGGGTTATGGCACCAGCATTATTCCCCAGCATGGGGTTTGATCCACTCATCAACGTTGGGGCTCCGCTAAAATAAGGAAAAGAGAAAAGCACACTCACACATGGCTTCGATTTGTTTCAGAAATTAGGTCGCTTCCTGTACTCAGTTTTTACTACACCATGGGACAATAAAGCAGGCAGAAACTGTCCGTTTGGCCTTGGAGCTAAACTGAACTGTCCAAAACAACTGTTCACAAACAATTAATTTTGAGAGCACCTTGCTAAACACTAACAATGAGTCAGGAAAATGTTCTGCCAGTAGAACTAATCTAACAAGAGAAGTCCCACAGTACAGCCCAACTGTTGTGAAGGGAAGCAAACCATTGCTATGTGCGAATAGACTCATTAAATGCAAGCCCAAAAAGGAATATTGATATTCCACAAAGCATTAAAATGATGTGGAAAACCAGGTCCAATTCTGGTCACTGTGTTTACCATGAAGATCCTAGACACAGGTCAGAAATTAACACCAATCGTCCACCGTTTACAAAGAGAAATCAACAAGCCCAAATTCTGAGAGCAAATGCTGCACAACACAATTAAAGGTAATAATAATCCTTGCATTTTATATACAGCCTTATCACGGCTCCGAGATGTCTCAAAGCGCTTCACAGAATATTATGTAAAGTGAATTGACTGTACATTTTATGGGTGAAACGTGGCAGCCAATTGCGCACAGCAGTGTCCCACACAAACAGTCGTGGATCGAAGTAACCAATTTATTACTTTTTTTTTAGAGAAATTATTAGCCCCGGAAAAGCGATTCACCAATCAACTAACAAATGGGTTCCTACTTACTGCTTGGTAAACAGAGGTGTGTGGAGTAAGGAAACTTGTCCAACATTTCACCCTAACGGGAATAGAACCCAAGTCTCTCGCTTGCGAGGCGAGTGCTCTAATCACTGATATTCAATATCAAGATATTCAACACAAAAGCATAATTCCATGTAAGAATTAAAACATATTATACAGTAAAATCTCATTGCTACAAATTTGAAAGTCCTGACAATGCAGTTTATTCCTTCATACGATTGTATGAATTATAGGATCTTCATTCTTTCAATTTAAGCATCTTCACTTACAGAAAGAGTACACAATAGCTGTCCATCGATAAAATCAATCTAAACCTTAAAGATCATGGCAAAAACAATGCAAAATGCATTCAACTAGTCAGTTGGCACTCTTTGGAAATAGCAGATCCAAGTGTACACACCCACATGTTACACACTTTAAGAGTTGATCCAGCTAGATCAATTTGAGGTTCTTTTGACTGCAATAAACCAAAAGAACACTGGACTTCCAATTCATGAGATTGCTGAGAAAAATAGTTGATAATTTATAAACAATTCCAAAAGGTAGTTAGAATAGTAAAGGCAATGAGGGGTTGAACGCTCTCCTGTAATGACATTTCTTTGATTTCCAGCTGTGGATTTAATCGATTGCCTACCATGGAAAGTATGACAACAACATTCTGCCTTCTGCCAATTGAGAATACATAGATAACCTATCAGTTCAATAAGTACTCAACACCTTGGGACATCCTCCTGAAGTGAAAGGCGCTCTATAAATGTAATTTTTTTGTTGTTGTCACAGTACTCAGCTGGTTGGATTCATGTACAAAGTAACATACTCTAGCTGATAGGAGATTATTGTTCCAGAGAAAAGCACAATTGACTCAGCACCTCTTAATGTGAGAGACAAATAATCAATTTATGACCATTAAACAGGCCGCTGAGATCACTCATAATATCTACTTTTGAAAAAGCTTTGATAAACAGGAGTTGGGAGGGAAAGCAGATTACATGGAAAGATATGTTACAGAAACAGGCTATTTGGCCCAACTAGTCTGTGCCAGACCAGTTATCTATTCTTTCCTTATCTGCGTGGAAAAAAATATATCTTGCTTATAGATTTTGCCAAAACAATATAGTCAATCCACTTTACAATATATATTCTGTGAAGCAATTTGAGACGTCTCAATGATGTGATGAGGCGCTATATCAAATGCAATGATTATTATTTTTTCGATAAAATCATTTTCAGAGCAATACAGTAAAAGCTGATTTATTATGGGATGTCTGTAAAATAATTTCACACAGCTGGAATTCCAATAGAGTCATGAGATTATCCCGATAGAAGGAAGAACAGTGGTTCAACTGGAATCATAAAATTGGCCTAAGAGTTCACAAGAATGAAGATCCACTAAACTATACAGAAAACATACAACTTCCAATTCAAAATACATAGTACACGTTGACAATGATTTAGAAATATTCTTACCAAACAGAGCCCACTACATTGATGAAGTTAAGGCCCGCCGGGTTTGCCATCACCTGGGTGGATGAACTCCCTGTTGTCATGGAGGTCACCATGGTGGAAAGAGGAATGGTCATTACTGGTAGGGCCTGACTGAGAGCCATCTGCTGTTGGGCAAAAGGGGTTAAGAGACTCTGTGGATTGAGACCTGATTCCTGAGGAGTTGGGGTAGCTGAGGGGGTAGATGTTGGGGTTTGGACATCAGAAGGGTGTGGAGTTGATGAAGGGGTGTTGGTTGGTGTCGGGGTAGATGGCTTGGGTGTCCCAGATCCTGCTCATTGAGAAAACAAAAAGTGCCAAGTTGTTAGTTTAAAGTCATTTCAAATGTTTTCTTTCAACACCTTGAAACTCAGTCCAGTAAATTACCTTCTCATGTCAATACTGAGCATAAACAAGTATTGAGCAAATTCAAGTTAACAGAAATAGTGACAAATGATCATACACATCATAGTGATTCTTGATAAAAATACATTTCAAGCCAATTGTGAATTATAAATATCATTTGCATCCATACTTTCCTCCGAGCAATGAAATAATTGCATACAACATAAATCCATCTTATATTTCCTTGTCAACAAGATATAAATTAGAGTAACATTAAGTTTCACACACTGCAATTGTGAAATATTTAATAAGAACGCATGATATTATATGATGAGGAATTTAGGGTAATAATTCAGACATATTATAATGAATGGCCAGGGTGAACTTCATTTGTACAGTAAGTGAGTTTCATACTCCTAGACCTCATAGTCCAGTTGTAGGTATAGTCACGTTCAAGTCTAAAGCAACCAAAATAGTCTACAGAATACTGCACTTCACTGAAAAAATCTTGTCAAGTGCTTTGAGATGTTTCTGTGATCAGGAACCGTAACAAATACAAAGATTGTTATTATTACTATGCAGATATGAAATTAGTTGTACGCCATAAAACTAGAAGGTATTACTCTCATTAATAAACTTCACTTATTTGAGTTGATTACACAGCTTTCGTTTTGAAGAAAAAAAAGATTGCAGACAGGCAAAATTAGAGGTGAATAATCTCCATGTTATATAACAGACAGATACAAAATTCCCAGAAAGTAACATAATAAAATAATTTGCATAGACCATAAATCGCAGCCTGCGTCTTAATCAGATTTGAAATCAAATGCACCATAACGTAGGCGCAGAAAGGTTGAGGGGGGAGACTCTTATGTACTCTGGGTCTACATTGGCATTCAATCAGGTGTTTTCAAGCGTGAAGATGGTTAAAAAAAAGTGGTAAAAAGAATCTCCAAAGGTTAGTGGTCTGACGTGAAGGACGATATACAAATCTAACTTCTTGCTGTTTGTGACAAACAAATCAACCGGAATTACTGACAAAATAGGTGAAAGGTTAATGAGTCATTATCAGTGTTTCTGTTTTATAATTTACTTGGCAACAGACTGATTTGTTTTTAATAAATAATGGAGTTTCTGGTTGCCAAGACTTAATTTAAACGTGCATTTAAAAGACTGACATCTGGGATCTGGCTTGGGAAGAGAGATTTTGGAAATGTTGATTATATGTGTGTTAAGGATGATAGAGCTTTGTTCATTTTGTTATACATGAATAATTAGTCTATAAGGTTCAGGGCCTGGATCCTTAGTTGGATCCTGTACTTCGATTCTGTTCATTTTGTTTTCTACCTGGGTTTATATCTTACCTTCATATAAATAACTACAGTTTTCACATCAAGAAACTGCTGAGGCTAACCAGTTAAGATAACAATGTTAAGTTAACATTGTTAAGATAATGTTAACCAGTTAAGATAACTAACCAGTTAAGATAACAATGTTAAGTTAACATTGTTAAGATAATTAACAATGTTAAGATAACCAGTTAAGATAACAACTCAAGCACACAAATCTCAAATTAAGCAAGCTTTCAAAAAACATCACAAAATGTTTTTCTATTGATTTGATCTTATGCCAATACTTGTGAAAGGTTTAAACCTGTCAATTAGTTCAAGCACTCATTTATTGTCACTTTGCGATCATTTGCAGTACAAGTACAGATAAATGCGTAATACATTATATCAGAACTTAGTAATCAAACATTTGGGAATGGCATAAATTATCAACAGAAGAACCATGTTCTCAGAAAATTTACGTAGGTATTTGCTTGCTAAATGGATTCTTGGAAGCCCATGCACATTGTAAGCATATGAAACATATTCTGATATAATTTGCAAGTTATTCTGCTCAGATACAAGTTGCTAGTTATTCCACTCACTTTGTGATGACCCAATTGGAGACATGGCAGGTGGTGAGAGCATGCTCCCTTGATTTAGATCCATAGAATGTTTTCTGGACAGACTGCCACTTTTAGAAGGTGGAGGAGTCGTGGATTTCAAATAGATACTTGATTGCAGTGGACTAAAGACATTTCCTAAAATGTAGTACAAAAGCATTTTAATGTAGCATCATTTTTGGAGGAGCAAACAGGTGTCTGATGTACACAGAAATCAATCTCTGTCCTCAAGAGTATCCAAACCAAATGACTGAAAGTTCTACATATCCATGGACATTTCCCTTTGTCTGCAATGGAGTGCATACTTTCAACCCATAGGTTGCAAATTGATCACCTAATCCTGGAAAATATTTGGACAGGTTGGCAAAAGCCAAGGTTTAGGGACCTTGGAGTATGCGTTTGAGGTAAGAGGCTAAAATAATGTGTTTTGTCTCAGAGCATACACATTGCAAATAATGTCTTGAAAGTTTCCTGCTGATGGAAAACCCTAAATGTTCTAACATAATATTTTCCTGTTATTTAACTCGTAGATATTAATTATCAGTCAATAGATTAACACTGACAGAAGTCGCTGGGAACACTTAGCAGGTCAGGCAGCATCTATGGAGAAAGGAAAGTGAGTCAACGTTTCGGATCCATGACCCTTCATCAGAACGGGTCTGCTGAGCGTGCCCAGCGACTTCTATTTTTGTTTTCAGATTTCCAGCATCTGCAGTATTTTGCATTTAGATTAACACTGAGTTTTGGTTGAGGACATTTCAGTTCATGTTTTGAACTCCAATGTTCTTTTGTTGGGTTTATCTACATAAGTACAACTATTGGAAGGGAAGGCTAAAGTTGCTTCATAACCAATTTTATCATGAAAGGATTTACCTGAAGAACTGTTACTTGAGCCACTAGGGAGCTTAATGGGTGGAGGTCGGTGTTTCACACCTTTCCCCAGGACAGAAGATTGGATAGAGCCAGAAATGCCTTCTGACTGCTGCTGGAAAATCACAATAACTTTTCATTAATACAAAGTGGCTAATCAAACATTATTCTCTGAACTCATCTGAGGAAGCATTTCACCCAATGCATTTACAGCATTTTTTATTTTTATTGTAGAAGCAATTATTTTTGGTTCAAGTATTAACAATTTCTTAGCTTTTGGATGCTGAAAGGTACAAATCTAATGAGAAAAGTTGTCTAAAAAGAATGTCACATGCCTTTTGTATCAGAAGACATATCAGGGTACTTATTTTACTGCTGCAGATAATTGTTTTACACTGTGTAACAAATTATTCTCATCACATTTTGATAGACATCAGTTTAACATTTAAAACTGATAAAAAACATTTAACTGATATAACTACAAAAATGCTATAGAGCCTTGTCAATCTTTTGCAAACATTTAAAGTAGTTGTTCTTCCAAGATTAGCTTGAATTACTGATATCAATTCTGAATACACTTTACTAAAACATGCAACAACGTTCTTGTTCTTTTAAAAAGGCACCATCATTTGATGTTGTCCCAATAACAGGTGTGTGAACCAATTTGGAGAAGTAAGACTGTAAATCTTAACCACATAATCCCCTGGAAATCCACATTGGCATTGATGGCTCAGTACCACATTCATCCCTGCAAACAGAGGGATTAGAGTCTGGCAGCTGTTGGGATGGACAGTTAATTTACAACCAAAAATAAAGTGAGAAATTAAAGTGCGGACATACAGAGCAGCATTTCAATTCAAAATTTCAATCCAAAATTTAAATGCTCGAAATGAAGAGTAAACCCAATGCAAACGTGTAGACAATGCAATGATACATTTTATACCCACTGAAAACACACGTTTCTGACCCACCTCAATTTCTTTCCCTGGAGATAACTGACTGTGGCTCACTGAGCCGGCTGAGTTATGAGAAATCTTCACTGGACACTTGGTATCCTGCTGCAAAACTTCAATGTACTGCTTTACAAACCTGTGATTTAACAGAACGAGTTTTAAAAAGAAAGAGATATTGCAAATACTTTTTGTATCATATACAGCACATGTTGGGGAGGGGGAGGGAAAGAGAAAGTATAAAAGCACACACCTGTCAGCTTCTGCCTTTGTACCTATAGGGAACCTGGTACACAAAACAAATTGAAGGTGAGAGACACAGAAAACTATAAAAAATGCTGAATCTCATAAAGAGACATCTAAAACACAATATTTAACAAGCATAACATTTACAAAAGCTTACAACAGCAATGGTTTTCTGATAATTGTTTTCTGATATTTCAGTATATTTGCACAACTTAGATCTAAGGGTCATTTGCGAGGTTACTGTTTGAGTTATTCACACAAATATTTCCTTAAATGTTGGACTTACGGTACTTGAGTTACCAAGGGTTCATTTTCTTCCTCTGGTATGGGATCCTTCGTCATGTGTATCTTACCATAGAAGAGTGGGTCATCTGACGACTGGTAAACAGTCAGTTTAGAGGCATGAACTTGATCTGCCCCTTCCCATTCAAATACGTATTCATAATTTGCTTCCTGAAAAAATAAATCAAATTGTCAAAGGTTTTAATTCGGCTCCATTAACTGGTGATAGACCTCAGGACCAGCTTTGAATCACTCAACTCCAGAAAATGGAAGTGTCCCTTGTGGATAATTTGTTAAAGAGTAACCAATATTCTTATGATTAATATTCCAGTATTCCAGTTGAACATGGAAGGAAGGGGGCTTGGAGTAGTACTGAACAGAAAGTATTCTACCTGGACTTTTTCTTTACGAAAATCTAAGTTTAATTTTTACAGGCATTTAAATTCTGCATTTTTTCCATCAGCTGTTTAATAAACATCCTCCTCTTAAGTCTTCACACATAAAACAAGAAAACAATTGTAAATAATAATAATAATAACCCTTGCTTTTGCCTTACCACATTGTGGAGATGTCGCCAAACGCTTCACAAAATATACTGTAAAGTGTTTGTGGGTGAAACGCAGCAGTCAGTTTGCGTAAAGCAATGTCCCACAGACAACTATGGAGTGAGATTAATTTTCATCTTGGGGACCGTTTATCAGGAGACCGGAAGAAACCCCCCTCTCCTTGAATAGAACCATGCGATCCCCAACGTCCACCTGAACAGGCAGCCAGGACCTCAATTTGAAAACAATGCTGAGAGAACACAAGATCCATTTACAAACTTTCACATTGGGAGGTATCTCAGAGCAATTTCCACATCTGGCTGGACACCAGACAGGGGAAGAAGACTGAAAGCAGTCAAAGGATTAAATCGTAAAGCCGGCTTTAAAAGTGGGGAGGGAGGGGGATAGTCAGAAAGTCTGCAGGATTGAGTTCCCAAGAGCGGGGGCAGAATGGCTGAAAGCTCGCCGATCGATGGTGGGGGCAGAATGGGCGGGGACCATAAAGCAGGCGTTCACTGAGCGGAGGGAGTGGGTGCGTTCGTAGGTAGGGTGGGACGAGGCCATAAAGGGATTTGAATGCAAGGACAACTGGGGGATGGGAAGCCAGTGGAGTTCAGTAGGATTGGGGGACCAAATTTACAAAACGCAGCAAATATTGTTAATATCAAGGGATATTAAATGCTCTCCTGAATTTTTCAATGTTTTAATTTTCATTACCATTTGGACTTTTGAGCAACATTTCTAAAGTAAGTTACACTGGAACAGATGTAGTTCATTCAGTGAACTCTGCCATTTTATTAGTTCAAGACAATTTTTCTCTCCTCAAACCGTTCACCCTTTCATCCTGCAGATTCTGGTAATGTTAAATTGTTGAGGTGACACAGGGAGACAACACTCAACACTCTCTCTCAAAAAAAACTCTTGTCAATTGTGTATTTATGAAAGCAGAAAAAATTAATTAGCTAGTTACTGACATACTTACATTTGATATACCACCAATTGCTAATCCCAAATCACTAAAAAGCTGATTTTACATGTAAACTGCAGTCTCTAGTCACACACAGTATGAACTTCATATTGCTATCCAAATTTAATTTTAACATTTTATGGAAGCAGAAGAGATTCTAATTAATTCATCTTAATTTTATCTTTTTGAGTAATGGCAAATTTATAAATGCGGGATTCAATTCAGAGAGGAGTCTTTCAGTTTCCTTTACTGACCCTCAGAAATAAATCACTGTTGGATTATAGACCCCTTTTGCAATGTTAATATAAATAAGAATATCATAGATGAATGATTTCCTCTTTAGAAACACGCAACTGACTCAACATTTCCAAGAAATGGTAATACAATCCATGGATTTTAGATTTGGCTTGGGTCCTTATATGACTAAAACTTATTTTCCAATACTTTGCCAGATGGTTTTAAAAATCCACAATGATCAAAGTGTTTTGCACACAAAACACAGTCAATTTATATATTATATATATTCTGTGAAGCGCTTTGAGATGTCTTGAGGATGTGATAAGGAGCTATATCAAATGCAAGGATTATTATTATTCATTTAAGCACAACATAAAAATCGACATAAGCTTTATTTTCCAATGTGCACAAGAACTTCATTCTAAAAGTATCACATCCTTACATTGATCATGCCTGTGGTGTGCTAACAAATAGCAGCAATCTTAGAAATGTGGCTAATTATGCAGATCTTACCTCTCATTTTTCTATGTCGTTTTTAAATAAATAACAATTTTTTGAAAATACAGTACGTGAATGCATGCAGAAAAGCCCAGCCAAATCCCTACTATACTATATTAGTGTTAAACATTTTGTCAAGAGCCATATTCTCAACCAATGTCTTTTTTCAGGGCTACTCTCAGGAATGCTGCAGTATCGCACCACAGAACGATAAGATTCAGGTTTGTATGCAGACCTTTCCCTGCACAGCATGACTCTGATTTTAATCATTCTGCAATGGCCAGTTGCCAAGTTCATGCAAGGCTCTTCATGCAAGAAAAAAACATTTGACTAATAGTTCTATTATAAAACTTATCTTTGACTTTGTGAATTTTGGGCTACTTCAATCAAGCATTCTTAGACTGCAACATTGAATCACAGCTTGGTCAAGATCCTACCGCTAACAGACTATGATTTGAGGCACAGATACACAAAGAGCTGCAAATCTGCCGAAATTCACTTGTGGATATGATTCCAATGTCCACAGGCCGTATCATCAGTCACTGATGTCCTCGCTGCCTCTCGTCTCGGCGTGCGCATCGTGGCTGCCACCCCCGACCCGAGCTGGCCCTCCCTCAAAATGCCCCCTCCCTGCAACTCTCCCGCTCTGCCCTCTCTCCGCCCTTCCAGCCTCCTATCTTGACCATCCCCTCCACTGCCTCTCTCTGCTCCAGCCTGGGAATCCTCTGCTGGGCTCATCGTGGCACTCAGCGCTGGCTGTCCAGCAGCAGTCACACCAACTGCCCCATTCCCAATTACCACCTCAAGCCACCCCGGACCCAGACCCCGGGGGCTAACCTCTCCTCCCTCATCTGCATCCCCACCCTCCCTGCCAACCAATAGACTACCCCCTCCCATCTCACACATCCCCCTGCCAACTGTCCACTCCGCATTGGCCTTCAAAACATCTGCTCCATCTGCAATAAGACCCTGTCAATAATCTCATCCTCGATGAGAACACTGACATCATGGCCCTCATGGAAAACTGGATCACCCCAGGCGATACATTCCCCCCCTCGCTGAGGCCACACCACCCGACTACAACTACCACCATGCCCCACGCCCTAACCGGCGTGGTGGCAGGGTGGCCCTCAAATCCAGGGCATCACTTGCCCTATCCCCCTACTCTACCGGCTCATTCCCCTCTTTTGAACACCTTACTCTCTGCCATCCCTCCCACCTCTTACTAAAAATCCTCCTAATTTACAGCCCCACAAAATCCTTCCTCACCTTCATCTCTGACATCTCCACCCTCCTAGCTTCCCTCTGCCCCGACCGCCTCATCATCCTAGGCGACTTCACCCCCTCCTGCTCTACCTCCTCAGATCTCCTCTCTCCTCTCCTCTCTCAACCTCTCCCTCCACATCTGCTCTGCTACCCACACCCACGTTCATCCACTCGACCTGGTGATCAACTGGGACCTCAGCATCTCGGATGTCACCATCACTGACAAGGTAATTTCCGACCACCATTTCATCTCCCTCAACTCACATATCCCTCTCCCCACTGCCCCCAAACCTACCACCATCTTCTACCACCCGTGGAAGAAGATCTCCCCGCAGTCCCTCTCCGCTGCCCTGGAGTCCTCTGAACTCCTCCCCATCTGGCCCACCTCTCGCACCATCCCACCCAGTGCACTCAATCTTCTCCACAACACCTTCTCCACCACACTCGACTCCCTTGGCCCCCTCACCTCTCGAACTGCCTCCTATTCCCGATCCTCACCCTAGTTCACCAGCCACCTCCGCTCGCTTGAGGGCCAGATGGAGTCTGCCAAACGCACTTGGCTCAAATCCGGCCTAACGGTCCACCGGCACATTTGGCTGGACCTCATCAAGAACTACCGCTCCGCTCTCGCCTCAGCCAAATCATCCTTCTATTCCAGGTTAATCCTGGAGGTGAAGGGCAACCCCAGGCTCCTGTTCTCCATCACCAACCGGCTCCTCCACCCTCCCCGCCACACCTCACAGATTCTCTCCTATCACTGTGAGAAAATGCTGGACTTCCTCAAGTCCAAAATCGAGGGAATCGGCTCAGCTGCCACTGCCCCCCCAACTTCCACCTCCTCCCTACCCCCCGCCTCACACTCCAAAAATTATCCATCCCTCCTTCTACACCTTTGAACCTGTCAACCCCTCCTCTGTCTTCACCACCACATCCTCCATGAAGCCCACCACCTGCTCGCTGGACCCCCTCCCCATCTCTCTCCTTAAATCCCAGGTCTACCTCCTTGCCCCATTACTCGCCGATATCATCAATCTCTCCCTGTCATCTGACACTGTTCCTTCCCCCTTCAAAACAGCCACTATCACCCCCATCTTGAAGAAACCTTCCCTTGACCCATCACAGCTATCCAGCTACCGGCCCATCTCAAATTTCCCTTTCCTGTCCAAGGTCCTTGAGAGAGCCGTTGCCTCCCAGCTTCACTCTTTACTCTCCTCCCACTCCCTCCATGAACCCCTCCAATCGGGTTTCCGTGCTGCCCACAGCACTGAAACTGCTCTGGCCAAGGTCACAAACGACATCCTGACCATGTGCGACCAGGGCTCTGGCAGCATCAGTCTCCATGGCTGCACACTCAATCTCACCAAGCCAGTCAGGAACCTGGGTGTCTTGTTTGACCCTGAGCTGTCCTTTCTCCCCCACATCCACGCCATGACCGGCACTGCCTACCACCACCTCCGCAACATTGCCAGACTCCGCCACTGCCTCACCCCTCAGGCTACTGAAACCCTCACCCACGCATTCGTCACATCATGGCTCCAAGTCTCCTGCTCGACCTGCCCTACCATCGGTGGCCGGGCTTTCAGCCTCTCTGCCCCCACACTCTGGAACTCCATCCCATGGTCCCTTCACCTCGCTTCCTCCCTTGCCTCCTTCAAGGCGGTCTCAAGACCCTTTTCTTCGCTCGTGCTTTTGGTCACCCTCCCACCTCTCTGCCTTCCCTCACCCCTACACCACCCCTCCCCCATGCTCGGGTCCCGACACCTCACTGTTCAGCGCTTTGGGACGTTCTCCCGGCGTGAAAGGCGCTCTATAAATGTAATTTTGTTGTTGTTATTGTCCTAATTGATCAAATAATTCCAGAGACTTTACAACAACATCTTGACTTAATCTACAATGCTCTTTCTTTTAGATTGGAATTTCTTCCTATTCCAAGAATGGGATGAAACCTAAAGGTTTTTTTTTTAATGAAAAATCACTTCTTCTAAAACCCATGATTTACAGTGTTCGTATTACGTTTGAGATCACAAAGTAGGCAGAACTGAAATGGGACACAGTCCAAGCCAAAATGTAGCAGTTTGGTGCTTTAAAGTATTTCCAGATTGACTTCAGATTAGTTTCATAAACATGTGAAACCAACTACAGCTGGTGGAAAGATTTTCACAATTGTCAACTATCCCTGCAATTTACTGAATGGTGTAAAAATACAAATTCAGCTCAAGAAAAAAACATAGCTGAACCCCTAGCGGTTTGGGTCTAAAAATTAAAAATTGTTGTTCACCGATTTCACTTCCTGGTCGCTATGCCTATGCAAAGTAGGAAATGACGTCGTTGGCGACCTGTTTATTCCAGGGTCGGGGGGGGGNAAAAAATTTGAGCATGGGATTCTGCCGTCACTTTCCGCTTTTCACATGCAGAGCAAAGGAGGAAATGATATTGTGGTGGCAACCTAATAACCCAGTCATTGGATATTTTAGTGGAAAGGGCATAAGAGAGAGTGCTGGCTGCATGTATCCGTAGTGAATGGAGTCCATTGTGCATTAAAACCAAATTTGCTCTATAAAGAAGCACATCCTGTCAGGGCTTCACTGTAGAAAATGTAATTTTACGTAAGTTATTTAAAAATCAAAAAAATTATCTATTTATTTTGACGACATATTGTTGGCACAAAAAAAGCAAGTAATGTTTGTCAATCAAACAGGTCCTGTAGATTTTGAGAAACTGCACCTACTCATTAAGGAGAATATTCAGATTTATATGTGCAGTCCCATTCAATCAAACACACCATTACTATTAAACATAGAGCAAGTATTTATAGAACTGAACATTGAGCAGTATTTATATATACGTTTCACAGTGATTTGCAGGGAGGAAGTGGTTTGAGAAGTAGCACGTATAGCAATGAAATTATACTAAGTGCAACTCCCTTGTGGCCCAATGACTTGATTGCATGGCTGATTTATATCAAAAGACTCTTTAAACACAATTTCATATTCCGTGCATAAATAGAACTCCAAGATTACATGTTAATTTTGACCACTTTTCATCATAAAATGAAAAGTATAAATCTGTTTTTCCTTCCACATCGCTATAACAATAATAATCCTTTCATCTGATATAGCACTTTATCACATTGTCAAACTTTAGTGTTTAGTGATTGAGTATTCGGTAGTCCAATCTGGAACTAATTTGCACACACCAACATCCCCAAAACAGTCATGAAATGAATGACCTCTTTTTTTAAAGTTGGAGCTTTGGTCTGTTTATAAGATATAAATTTCAGAATTACTGAGATTTTTAAAGCTATTACAACAATTGGTGGCAGAGAGAGGAGAAGGAGGGGGGCAAAGTAACCTATAACCCATCCCACTGAGGAATATTGTTAAGACCAAATAATTCCTATGACTGAATTACAAGTAGAAGCATAACATTTTCAGCATTTCCAACATAATAAATCACTGTAATTAGAAGCAAACTTTGGTGTCTGAAAAAGTTTCTCGAGGCAATCAACTGAAAGCACAGAGGTACTTACATGCGCTGGCCAGACAGCTGCTTGCAAGTCATCAGATTTGCTCGGTTTTTCCACCTTCGCGTACTTTTCCACCTGGAACAAAACAAGTGCCAAATTTCAAACCACTAAAGCATAACAGAATATTTTTCACTTAGTAACATGAATGATTACTTGCATATTCTTATGTTACTTGAAATTCTTATGTTCTTATTCTTTCTCCCCTTGCGAAAGAATAAAATCAAAATTATTTGAGTATAATTTTCCAAACAAACATTCAGAGATGTTCAATATTCTAAGTGAGACAGGACATAAAGAATGGATATACACACATACCAGACCTGCTCCGAGCCCTGCTAATTTCGACCTCCAAAAAACATTTGAATTCCTGACCTCAAAAACTTAAAACATGAAAATCAACTAATTAAAAAACAAGTAAAAAACCACAGGAATGGAAGATGCCTCGTATGGAGTATAAACAGTGGCAGGGATTAGTTTTGCAGAGGGCTTGTTTCTGTGCTGTACATTCTGTGCAAACTTAACCAAGTTATAAATCATATTTCTAGGGTCGATTGCTGATGTGAACATTCTGTTACCTATTTCTCCGTTTACTCATAAATAATAATCCTTGCATTCGGTACAGCAACTTATCACTTCATTACGACGTCTCAAAGCGCTTCACAGGATATACTGTGAAGTGGATTGACTGTATATTTTGTGGGCAAAACACAGCAGCCAGTTGCGCAATGTCCCACAGACAGCCATGGAGTTGACACACAATACATGGTAAAATGGGGATTATATCCCCTCTAAATTTATGAAGTTGCCAGCTCAAATAATTCAAATTTCTTTAAAATGCTTTTCTATGGGCCATTCAATAAAATAAATTATTGAATTCCCCACTTCTCAAATTCTTCATCACTGGCGCTTGCTTCGTGCCTTCCCTTGGTAAATGGGGAGGCAGACTGCTGCTCCAACAGGTTTTCTGTCCACTCTCTTGACCCAGGAAAGGTACTTAACCAAGCAAGACCACAGCCATTGTGGGTGTAGCAAGGTGATCTTCAAATGCCTCTAATTGAGATGCTCAGTGACCTCTTGGTATATCGTCTTGTTCTTTTTCTTTATCATCCATTGATGACAATACAATATATATTCATATAGCAGTTTTCACGTGGGTAGGACGTCTCAAAGTGCTTCACATTGCTGGCTGAGCACATGATACAGGGGTGGATGGGAGGAGATATAATAATAATAATCCTTGCATTTGATATAGCGCTTTTCACGTCGGGAGGATGTCCCAAAGCGCTTCACAGAATACACTGTAAAGTGAATTGACTGTATATTTGTTGGCGAACGCGGCAGTCAATTGCGCACAGCAATGTCCGAAATGACCAAAAGTGAAAATAAAGAGATAAATCTTAAGATAGACTTTAAAAGTGGGGAGGGAGGGTTGAGGTGAAGAGACCCCGGGATAGATTTCCAGTGAGTAGGAACAGAATGGCTGAAAGCTCGCCCACTGATGGTGGAGTGGCTTTGTTTGGGTAGGGGAAGAGACATGAAGCCAGGTTTGCAGAAAGTTACAGTGGTAGGGAGACAGTAGAGTGATTTGAAATGGGGAACCATGAGAGTCAATATCAGTTCAAGTCCGTATAAGGCAATGCTCAACACTTTCATAAAAAAGATGCCTTATAACCATTTTGAACCTTAATTGTTTTGACTAGTGTAGCACTTCTTCCCTCCTCCTCATTTGTTTTCTCGATTGTTTTAATATTTCATTTAGTTTTTCCTCCTACCGAATCTCCTCTTATCCTATATTTCTAACCCTCTTTTAAAAAAATACATTTCAACCCTGGAAAAGTGATACGCTAAACTGGGTTCCTACTTACTGCTAAGTAATCAGAGGCGAGTGGAGTAAGGAAACTTGCCCAACGTTTCGCTCTGCCGGAAATCAAACCCAGGTCTCTTGCACGCGAGGTGACTGCTCTAACCACTGAGCTACAGGACTCCACAGGACTAATTTATGCTACAAGCAAGTCTAATCCATCCATTGGGGTCTCCAACACACCTGACCTCGAATGGAAAACTCATTTGACATTCCAAGGGCTAAACTGCCCACACACTTTGAAATTATTTATTGAAATCTGGTACATTTCAGAAGATTTGGTGATATCATCACTATTCTAATGTTCTATTTTATAACACTTAGAATTAGAAATTCACCTTTTTACAAGTGCCTGAAATCCCTCGGAAGACACCGAAGATCTCCGTAGATTTTAAAACGCATGCATGTTTTCGACACGAGAGGTTTTATATTCGGAAGACGCCAAAGTAAACTTACATCGATTTCTGATGGTACAGAGAGCTGGCAAGGGTTCTGCTTCCACATATCAACACACTGCCAATGAAGCGGGAAGAGAACAGTATTATGTTAGAAATCTTTACACCAGAAAACTAGACAACAAAAACAAATTATATATGTAAAGCGCCTTTCATGTAAGGAGGATGCCCCAAGGTGTGGGACAGTCAGGGATACGCACACAAGCTGGTGGTTGGGGTCAGGAGGGGAGGAGGGCAGGGAGGGTAGGGGAAGGAGGGTGGCTGAAAGCACGATCGAAGAGCAGGGGCTTAAGATGGGTCTTCAAGTAGACAAGAGAGGGGGGCGAGGTGGAGGGACTGTGGGGTGGAGTTCCAGAGGGTGGGGAAAGACAGGCTGAAGGTTGTCCCCCCAATGGTGGTGAGGGCAAGGCAGGGGACGTGAAGCAGGACGGAGCCCGCTGAGCGGACGGAGAGGACAGGTTGGTAGGGAATTAGGAGGTCAGAGGTAGACGCACAGTAATTGTGCACGTGTATTGTTTTTTAAAAAAAGACATACATTTCCAGTTCTGGAGATTTTAAGATCAATGGTGGTTGGCACAGGCTTCCGGTCCTTTCTCTTCTGAAGGTAGTCAAATAGTTTAAAATGAGACGGTGCTGTGAACTGGGTTATTTCCTGCTGCCTATTCAATGCTGGCCGAGAATACCGCTTCATACACCTAGAGAAGACAATGGGAAAGCACACTTACAATTAATTACCAGCCAAATAATAACCAGCGAACACCGAATATTAAATCTTAAACTGTGATAACTTTTCCCAGAGGAGTTGAAAGCGGGGTAAAGGTACCATAGCTGTGCTTTCTTTCTTTTGGGGTCATTTACGTTTTCAAGGAGCAAAAGTGAAATTTTTGATCTTAGAATTTGTCAGCACAGGAGGAGGCCATTTGGTCAATCAAGCGTGTGCCAGCTTTGTGAAAGAGTCAATTGTTCAGTCAAACTGCCCATTTTTTCTCAATGCCCTTTGTATTTCTCCTTTTCAAACATTGGTCCAATTGGCTTTCAACAACTATTTTGAATTCTGTTTCACCTACCATTTTGGTAGAACATTCCATGTCCTATTAACGCAATGTAAAAAGATTTCTCCTAAAGTCTCCCTTTATCTTGGCACACATCATTCACATGCTGCTGTTCAGCCATGGAGAAGACAGACTGTGATCTGCCACCTCCTCTTTCTGGCTGCAAGGAAATGCTTGATGGTAGGCAGCCTAAAAGCAAGCAATATTTGCCAGAGAAAACAGTGTATTTCATAATAATAACATTCTGTTAGATTAATGAATTTTTGCGGCAACTGAGTTATTCGCTTGACATATAAAACTACTGTAATTGTGTTCACAGTTTACAGTATGACCCATCAATTAACTGAAATAAAAGTAGAAATGCTGGCAATCCATATTAGGTCAGTCAGCATCAGCATTTCTATTATAGCTCTCCAAATAATAAAGGCAGGATGAGAATCCCACCAACATAATCACAAATTTAAAAAGACTTTTAAAATTACTCAAGCAAATATTTTCAGAAACGTTTTAATTTAATGGGCAGCGTGACTGAACAATTTAATTAATTCCCCTGAAGTAAAGGTATTGATGTTGAATTTAAATGAAGAAAGATAACAGAAGCAAGGCATTCAAAAAGGCCTGAACTATATGCAAACCATTCACCTTTTCATCGGCTTTGTGTTCATCTTCTGTTTATTATAAAGAAGTCTGTTTGTTGTACAGGTTACAGTGATGGAAGGATCCAGACAAAGGGGCTCTGCAGTATGAAGCACCAACTGGCTTTCAAGGACAAGTTTATCATCCTGAATTAAAAATAAAGTATCACTGTCTTAAACTTAGCAACAATAATCCTTATGAACAATTATCACATTGTCAAAGTATCTGGAAGGGCTTCACTGGATTTACTGTAAAGTGTAGCGATCTGTACAGTTTTAGGTGAATGCGGCAGCCAATATGTGCACACTAATGTCCCGCAGTCATTCAGTAAATATCCTTTCCTTTTAAATTGTGGATTGTCAGACAGGACCGGGAGAAACTCTCTTTTCGAGTAGTGTCATGGGCATATAACGTCCACCTGAACATTGAGACAGGACTTTGATTTAAGGTCTCAGAATAGACACTGGTTTATCTGTGCAACTTGTAAGAGATTAAATATGAATTTTAATAATCAAGTAGTCAGATATCAGCAACAGATAAAAATTAAATTGACCATGCATAAATGAAATTCAGAGATTTCATAGTTTGATCAATTCACAGTGTGAAATTTTAAGTAGAAAAATATTGTTTTAATTACTCATTTGAATTTGATTCCAGAGGTTTCAGCTAAATTTAGTCATGAAAAATACATATGTAATTTTATGCAATTAACATTTTATTTAACAAACACAGTAATGTCATTCAAAAGACATATAAGGGGACCCCATTATAATGCAACATCATCTTAGATAATCATGTTCTAATGCATCCATGAAGAAAATGGCTGCTGGTCCTGCTTCTTGGTCATTACATCATGAATTCCTGTGCATTGCAGACGACGTCACTTTCCGCATTTGCCTACGAATATGCAGTCACTACACCTTATTGTAAATTCTGTGAAATATTTTTAACCATTTCAACAATGTGATGAGGCGCTACGTAAAACAGCAGTGTTATTATAGTGCAAAGTGCAAGAAGTGTCAACACAGCTTTAGCACAGGATGCTGGCTAGCCTTTGTCGGAAGTTAGCTTCCGTTTAACCCTGCTATGAGCAAACCAGTGTTCAACTGAAGCACAACCGTGATATAACAATAATAATCCTTGCATTTGATAGCGCGTTATCACTTTGTCGAGGCATCTCAAAGTGCTTCACCGGATATACTATAAAGTGGTGCGACTGTGTATTTTGTCAGTGATAGAACAAAAGGTCCATAGAACATATTGTCAAGTTTACCTGCGTCCATTTGTGGTTGTCACTTGTTATTGCATGGACATCACAAATCAGAGTCTACAGGGGGAAAAAAATTGCATAAGCACTAAAAAAAACATAATAAAGCACCAAGTTAAGTCACAGAGATTCACGTTTAGCATCAGGTGGCTGGTTAAACACAAAAACTTTGGAAAATCACAAGCAAAACTTGAATGAAGAAGGGACATTTGATCTCCCCTCTTTCTGAATATCAACTCTTCCCATCTGCTATCTACCAAGTATCTACTTGATTCGTAAATAAGTCCAGCGCTTTTCAGCCTCACTCTATAATCTCTGCTCCATGTTTACATACCACTGTAATGTCCACCATGAGAAACCCCTTTTCAAGTCTGAGCCCTGCCATATCTAGTCATTCCAAATAGTTCATCCTTCTAACACTAGGAATCAGTTTCATTGCTCTCATTGATGGAAGTGAATTTGGGGTGCCGAATGGCTTTCTCATTCCCGACCTTTATCGCTATCATTTGCTCATCAACTTTCTTCTCATTCTCCCAAAGTGAGAAGGGAGAGGAAGGGAGAGCCTTGCCTCCACATTCTATTACCCCCGAAGGCTCTAAAATAACATCATTTTAGGAGGAAAATACAAAAGTACAATAAACCATAAAAGTTCATAAAGTAGCATCTTAGTACTGTAACATGCAGCATCTCACATTTAAGCAGTGTGATTATCTTGTCCAGATCATTTTTCTTTCTAAATTCACTTACATTTACTGCGGTCATTCATTAATCACTGCTTTATACATTTCCTGCTGAGGGTAAAAGTGGCTTTATCTGAACTGGCAAATGAAACACGGGCACATTTGCGTATTAAAACCATGGAATGCAGAGACCACAAACAATAATTGGGCAGACAAATCAGCATGACACAGGGATATAGATAGATATAGGGGAAAGGGGAGGAGGAGGAATTAATAATAATAAACCTTGCATTTGAAAGAGCATCTTTTTGTGTCATCAAGACATCAATGACTGTGTATTTTGTGAGTGAACTAGGCAGTCAATTTGTGCACAGAAATGTCTCACAAAGGGCTGAGGAGTGTGACTAAAGGAAGGAAGATAAGAATGAATTTTACTACACCACAATATTCAAAATCATGATTTTTAGTGAGTTACAGCAGCATAGCAAGTGCATTATATTATATATCGAGCCAATTCACTTGTTTGTTCTGATTTTGATTATTCCCACTGTGGCAACAACAAAACATAGATTGATACTGTTGTGGTGATCTCAGTTTATGAGGTAGGAGGAAGAGACAATGTAGGGTCTCATATGAATGGTCAGTTGGGAAAGGAACCAAAGGGTTGCTGGTATCCTCAGCTTATATGTCAACAAATAATAATGATTGCAGAAAGAAGAGGCAAGGAATACAAGCTTTAAAAATAAGCACAATCCACTTAAGTCCAACTAATACTATACCTGCATCGTGGGTCGAAGTAGTATATGCCGACTCTGGTACGTAGGAGCTTTCAAATGACTAGACTGACGAAAATCTCGCACTTCAGCAATAACGCACCCACAATGAAATATATTGACCTAAGAAGAGGATTAAATGTTTTTTACTACTATTTTTTTTTATCTGCTTCAACAACAATGTATACACACACATATATATATATATTTAGAACCCTTTTTGGGTAGTATCACGGAGCACTAAACACTGGGGGGGGAGGGAGGTGAGCGAACCCACAGCAGACGGAAGAGGAAAGGCTTCAGGTGTGATTTGAAGATAGGCAGAGAGGGGAGCAAGAATGGAAGGATTGGGGTAAGGAGTTCTAGAGATTCAGGCATAGTGCCTGAAAGCCTGGTTGAAAATTGTGGAACGGAGTGGATGAGGGACGTAGAGCAGACCTATGCCAGCTGAGCGAAGGTAGCGGGTACAGGAGTGGGGAGGGGTGTGAGCAGATCGGAGAGATGGGGACATGCCAGAGCATGAAAAGATCTGAAAGCGAATGAAAATCTTGAAATCAATCCAGGGAGCCAGTGGAGACTGGCAAGAATCATGGTGATGGGAATGCGCAGCCTGGTATGGTTGAGAACACAAGTGGCAGAGCTTTGAATCATTTGAACCTTGTTAATAGTGGAGCTGGGGAGACTGGTGAGGTGTGCGCTGGAAAAATTGAGGCAGGAGGTGACAAAAGCATGAATGAGAATTTTAGCAGCATTTGAAGTAGGATTGGGGAAGTAGATATTTTGTGAGTGAACTCGGCAATGTTCAGAAGCGCAAGTGAGAAGATGTTGACAGGAACCAAGGAGAATGCCTTCTGTCCTGTTCAGTTGCAGAAAGTTGGCGCTCATCCAGGCCTGTTGTCAGACAAGCAGCCAGTGAGAACATTGGTAGGGCTGGGATCACGTCAATTGGAGGAAAAATAGATTAGGGTATCATCTGCATATATGTGGAAGTTGACCCCTCCATCTGCAGATCATATCACCAAGAGGGAACATGTAAACGAGAAAAAGGAGGGAGCTGAGAATGCAGCCTTGCAGGTGACCTCGCAGGTGAGGGATGAGTCACTAGATATTCTTAAAAAACAAAATGTACTTTCCGATTTCAGTTCGACAATAAAAATCAATGAGGTCAGAACAACTGACACATTGGATTCTGTGACTTGCAATTTCCTGAGTGAACCAAACATTCTTGTGACATTTTTCACTAAAACCACTCTAACACTGTTCCAACAACATTTAGCTTAATCTGCGATGCATTAAACTAGAAGTGAATCTAAATTGTATATCATCCTGGTGTTCAGATACAATCCTGGCTTTTCTCCCCTCACATTAGAATACTTTTGGTTAAAATTCTGGTGGCTTTGATATCGTTCCTTTGACCATTCAATTGGGAATTCAATTTCAGTACAGTTTATAACTGGTATTCTGGAGAGGAAAATAAAAAAAGGAAACAGTATGAATTCAGAACAAAACCTGGGATGGAAGAATTTATGGATTAAATCAAGTTGCACATTGTTATTTGAATAACTCCCAGGTTAAAATTATAATCTAATTTTCCAGCATGCTCTGTCAATTTTGATCAAAATTACAAGGCTGAGTGAAACAGCCAGGAAGGCAACTTGCTTTCTGCAATACAATTGTCTGACAAGCGACAGTTCTCTTTTTTCCAGAAACAAAAGAACATAAGAGATGCTAGACGAAAAAGACTAGTTTGCCTTCCACCTTCCTGGTGGTTGCACGCACATATGTCCCAAACTAGCTATGTACTATATCCCATAATGTTATTTCCTAAAAGAATTGAATCTAATTTGTGGTTGAAAGAATCAACATTTCCTGCTTCAACCAACTCCCTAGGGAGCCTGTTCCACAAGTTCACTATTCGATCACTGAAATAGTATTGGCGTAGGTACGTTCCGAGTTTACCCCCCATTAACAACTTTACAGTTTTACCTGTAAGTTAGGTTTAAATGGATAAATCCACTAATTTAAATATGTTTTTGATCAGAAAGCAGCATAAAGATTTATGTAAGTTCTTTGAGATTTATGTGAGGTTTGTAAAAGTGGCAATTGAAACTAAAATGATGTAAGCTGTCAAAATCGATTCAATTTAGTCTCATACCTAAAATAATGTTCAGGCAGCTTGATATGAAAACCAGTCAGTCAGCCTGTCCTGATATTTAAAGCAAACCATTTATATTTCAAAAAATCCTGCATATGCTGAATTGGCCAAACAGAAGTCGCTGGGAACACTCAGTAGGTCAGGCATCATCTATGGAGAAAGGATGATTCCTTTCTCCATATGAAAGGATGCCTCCTTTCTCCATAGATGCTGCCTGACCTGCTGCGTCCTCCCAGCAACTTCTGTTTTTGTTTTCAGATTTCCAGCATCTGCAGTATTTTGTGTTTTGTAGAAACTTAAGCCTTTCTTTTGGTTAAAATCTTCAGTCAACGCCTGACTAACAATTGACCTTGCTGCTGGAATCAATCTTGCACAAAGTTCTTTCTTTGATGAAATCTTACAAAAGAAAGAATTACACCAAATAAAAATACTAGCCAAATCTTATTATTTTCATATTTGTCACCTTGTCAAGTGTTCATTCCAATGCAGCATTACATTTTCTAAGCAATGCTAACAAACAGAAATGATAACTGGTTTAACACTTTAAAGCAGAAGCTGACCAAAATGCCTCATAGGAAATTATTGTAAATCTAAATTCACCTGAGATTTTTCTAAAAGATCTACAAGAACTGGTGGCAACTCTTCTGCATCTAAGAACTCCAGCAATTCTCCCTCCTCATAAGGCAGACGGATTGTTTCAGAATCTAAATTTATTGCAATTAGATAAAAAAGTTACTTTCAATGTAGTGCATTCACAAAGATTCCTCAGAAACGTTTACACCATATAATTCAACATAGACACCCTTTTAGGTGTATTATTTCATGAATTGCACTTTGATACTGTATAATGCAAATAATTTTCTATATCTATAATAAAAATTAAATCTGCTTATTAAAAACTATTTATATCTTTAAAAATGAAATGTAACCACAGCAATTTACATTTATATAATAATAATAATCCTTGCATTTGATATAGCGCTTTTCACGTCGGGAGGACGTCCCAAAGCGCTTCACAGAACACACTGTAAAGTGAATTGACTGTATATTTGTGGGCGAACGCGGCAGCCAATTGCGCACAGCAATGTCCCACAAACAGCCATGGATTGAAAATGACCAATTTATTATTGTTTTTAGTTTTGGAGGGATTATTATTAGGCGTGTGGAGTAAGGAAACTTGCCCAAGGTTTCGCCCTGCCTGGAATTGAACTCAGGTGTCTCTCGCTTGCAAAGCGAGTGCTCTATCCACTGAGCTGCAGGACTCCAAAGTCTAGCAGTAGAAGCACTATAGCACTATAGAACTATAGCACCTTTCATGTAGGATTAATATCACAAAGCGCTTCACAATATCGATAAGAAAAGCACTGAGCAGGAAGGACGATGTTTGAAGGTGCTAAAAGGCATAGAGAAAAGAAAGATTTTAAGAAGATTTTGAATTTGGAAGGAATTTGGGGAGAGAGGTTAAGAATGTTATTAAAAGCTCAGCAACCAATGGCGGAAAGGGAGGGCAGAAAAAGGGAGTGAGGAACAAGTAGTAAACTCAAATCTATTAAAACTCAATGCAAAAACTCATTGTAAAAATCTATTAAAACTCATTATAAAACGTTGAATAATCTTACCTGATCCGTTTTTCCCCCTGAGCATCATAGAGTACCCTTCATTTCCAGGATACAGGTTTACCACCAGACATGATACTCTCTCCTGCATAACCAGCTTTTCTAACAGATTGACATTTCGCCTCAATTTCTGAGAAACAATCAAAAGATCCGTTTGGATGTTAAAGCGCGATGGGGAGGGTGTATTTTCCATTCAATCTGCCCACATGATGAATTACAGATCTGTTGAATAAATTCTGTATACCTTTAGTTCTGGTTCTTTTTCACATTCTTCCACATATATGTCATACAGTTTCTGATGTACAGATTTCCTAGAGCATAAAAACAAAACACCAAGTGAACAAAAAAAATTCCATTGTAACAAAAATACTTTTTTTTAACAAAACAACTAATGATAGAGAACAACCTTCCACTAGATGAATGCCTCCTTTTAGGTGGTCGCTGACGAGCACATCCAATAATGTACTACAAAGAATAAAATTGAACATGTATTATATACACTGAATAACTGAGCAACAGGTGTAATATGAGTAGCAGTGTAATATATTACACAGCAGAATGGATGAGTTGCTGTCTGACTCACCTCTGCACGGTCCAACGCATGTTCCAAAGCGTGATGCTGCAGTAAAAAAAATGGTTTTACTAAGAAGTTCTAAGGATATTGAGTAACCAGAAATCCATTCGTTCAGGATGTCCTCCTAAACTTTCCCAATTATTTCTAACATGTCGTGCAGAAATTCATTGGTTATGCAAACAATGGGAATGTTTCTTGGAAGAGAAACAAACCCAAAGTAAAATTAAAACATATTTACAGATCCTCATCTGGCACAGATATCATGGGGCAAATGGCCTTCTTCTGTGCCATCAATTTCTATGGCTCAGTTATCCTTAACATTAAACAAAATCTACCAACCCGTTGAATAGCTCTGAAGCTATGGAACTCCCTCCCTCAATCCCTTCACCTTGCCCTCTCTTTCCCAATTTTCAGGTTGCGCCTGAAGATCTTCCTCTTTGACCGTGCTTATGGTCACCTTCTCCCTACCCCTGCCTCGGGCTCCGCCATTGTCAAGGGCTCTGGGAAGCTGCCCGGCGTGGAGAGCGCTATATAAATGGAAGTTGTTGCTGTTTATTGAATAACAAATTAGATCGCCCCCCTCCCTTCATACCTACAAGCAATCCCCTCGGCTGCGAGCATCAAATTCCCAAAGGATTTGGTAGTGGTAGAGACAAATATATGATTTCCTGCCTGAATACATCAGCTTAAAACTGTTTTCAGCAGAACTAATTTACAGTGAACAATGCAACCCAAATATACATTTTAGAAATGCAATTTCAGGTTTGATTCATACACTGAAATACAATGTGGTACGATGCGATGCTAAAGTGTAGATTTGTTACAGAAAAGTAAAGGATGCAATCTCAAAAAGTAGTCTTGAAAAGTGCTGCCCAGAAAAATGCTTTAGAAAGATGACATAAAGATCATCTAATTGTGATGCCGGATGCATCAAAATGAATCAAAAGTGGTGAAGAGTGTCCATTGTTTTTCTATACATGGAATAACAGAAACGTTGTTTGCCACCTCACTATCCTCCTGGTTGGAGAGGTGCAGGGGCGGGGGTCTACTTCGAGCTGAAGTGGCTCCAAGGTGAATGTTGGAATCCAGCCATCCCTCTGTTGTGGTCTCGGTAAGCCGGTTCCTGAGCCAAGTGGATCCACAGTATTCCAGGCCACTGCTGATGACGGCACAGCCAGCCTAGCTCATCGGCAGGACCTCACACGGGGAGTGGCGGCAGGACCTCAGTGCGGGGAGGAGCCTGGGCCTACCTACTCAGGTATTTAAGCTCGCGGCGGCAGGGAGTGCAGCTAGGGGGTTTGGGGGGGTTGGGCTGTGGGTGTGGGGGCGGAGCGGGGGAACCGCTGACATCATAGTTTAGTTTTCAGGAGTGTGCGCGCGCAACAAAACAAAAAAAAAACCTCTGCGCCCCCCCCAGGGCTCGCATCAGAGCCCACCGTGGTCCTGTTGGGTTGGCTGCCCCAGCCCATGGTCTAATGCCATCCACCTGACCGCTCGCTCCCGGTCCCCGTGTGCGCACTATGGCTGCCGCTTTGACCCGAGCCCCCTCACCCCCTCCCTCCCTCCCTCCCTCCCCCCTCCTCTCTCAACCCCAAACCCTTCACCCTCTGCATCTCTCCTGCTCTGTCCTCCTCTATCTCCATCCCTCTCGCCTTCTATCCCCACTTGACCCTCCCACAGCCTCCCTCTGTTCCAGCCTGGGAATCCTCCGCCGGGCTCACCGCGGCACTCAGCGTTGGCTGTCCACGAGCAGCCACACCGACTGCCCCATTCCCCACCACACTCGCCAGTCAACCCGGACACAGACCCGGGGAGCCAACCTCTCCTCCCTTATCCCCATTCCCCCACCCCTGCCTCACAACCTGGAAACCCCTCCCTCCCCACACACCCGTCTGTCAACCGCTCCCTTCACATCGGACTACAAAACGTCCGTTCCCTCTGTAACAAGGCCCTGGTCATCAACGATCTCATGCTTGATGAGAACGTTGACATCATGGCCTTAATGGAAACCTGGCTCACCCCAGGCGACACCTTCCCCCTCACGGAGGCCACACCACCCGGCTACACCTCCCACCACATCCCTCGCCCCAACCGCCGTGGCGGTGGTGTTGCCCTTATCTCAAGGACACCACTTGCCCTATCCCCCTACTCCTCTGGCTCTTTCCCCTCTTTCGAGCACCTCACCCTCTCCCACCCCTCCTTCCTCTCACTCAAAATCCTCCTCCTCTACCGGCCCCCTAAAACCTCTCCCACCTTCATCTCCGATATTTCGACACTTCTTACATCTCTCTGCCTCTGCTCTGATCGCCTCATCATCCTGGGCGACTTTAATCTGCACTTCACCCCTTCCTGCTCCATCTCCTCGGACTTCTCTTCCCTGCTCTCCTCACTCAACCTCTCCCTCCACATCAACTCCCCCACTCACAGTCACGGCCACCCACTCGACTTGGTGATCACCCGGGGCCTCAGTGTCTCGGATGTCACCATTACCGACAAGGCCGTCTCCGATCACCACTTCATCTCCTTCACCACCTCCACCCCCCTCCCCACCTCCACCAGACCCACCACCATCTTCTACCGCCCCTGGAAGAAGTTACCCTCACAATCCCTAACCGCTGCCTTGGAGTCCTCTGAACTCCTCTCCCTCTGGCCTTCAACCCTCACTGACCCCTCTTCTCCTCTCACCCTCCTCCACAACACCCTCTCCTCCACACTTGACACTCTTGCCCCCATCACCTCCCGTACTGTCTCCTGCTCTCGCTCCTCCCCCTGGTACACCACCCACCTCCGCTCACTGAGGAGGTCCAGCCAGATATGTCGGTGGACCGTTAGGCCAGATTTGAGGTGCGGGCCGCTGAACGCACCTGCCTCAAATCTGGCCTAACGGTCCACCGACATATCTGGCTGGACCTCCTCAAAATCTACCGCTCCACTCTAGCCTCGGCCAAGTCGTCCTTCTACTCCAGGATAATCCTGGAGGCGAAGAACAACCCCAGGCTACTGTTTTCTACCACATCCCGACTCCTCCGTCCCCCCCGCCACCCCGCTCAGGTCATCTCCTCCAACCTTCGCTGTGAGGAGATGCAGGATTTCCTTGAATCCAAAATCAAGGGAATCCGCTCCGCGGTCACTTCCCCTCCAACCTCCACCCACCCCCTCCCTCCCACACTCCGACTCCTACCTCTCAAAGCCAGTCAGGAACCTCGGGGTTCTGTTCGACCCTGAGCTGTCCTTTCTCCCTCATATCCGCGCCACAACTGGCACCGCCTTCCATCACTTCCGGAACATCACCAGACTTCAGCACTACCTCACCCCTCACGCTGCTGAAACTCTGGTCCACGCCTTTATCACCTCAAGGCTGGACTATGGGAACTCTCTCCTCGCGGCCTTCCCGCCACCTCCCTCCACAAGCTGCAGGTCATTCAGAACTCTGCAGCTCGTGTACTGTCCCGCACCAGACACTGCGACCACATCACTCCCACCCTCGCTCCCCTCCACTGGCTCCCCATCCCCCAGAGGATTGAATTCAAGATCCTCATCCTCACCTACAAGGCCATTCACGGCCTTGCTCCCTCCTACCTCTCCGACCTACTATCCCCCTACCTACCTGCCCGTACCCTCCGTTCCTCTGGCTCTGGTCTGCTCCACACCCCCCGCCCTAACCACCCTACCATCGGTGGTCGGGCCTTCAGCCTCTCAGCCACCAGGCTCTGGAACTCCATCCCCCAGTGCCTTCGCCGCTTCCTCCCTTTCCTCCTTCAAGGCCGGTCTCAAGACCTTTCTCTTTGACCGAGCCTTCAGCTCCCCTCTCGACTCTCTACTCCCTCCTCGCTCCCTCCCTTCCCTCCCCTCACCCTGACCATTTCCCCCCTGCTCGGGTCCTGACCCAACTGTACAGTGCCTTGGGACGTCCTCCCGACGTGAAAGGCGCTCAATAAATGGAATCTTGTTGTTGTTGTTGTAATGGCAGACAGGTCACTGAGGGCAGGGAATCGTCCCACTCAGCTCCTGCTAACCCTGCAAGCCAAAGCCTTAGTGGGTAGAGTGGTCCTAGCTGGACAAGCAGAGGGAAAGCTTACCAAAGCAGCAATACCAATGGCAAGCTATGCGGTTTTAGCTGGTTAGACTCAAGCAGTACCCCAACAAATACTCTAGGGTCCCTAAGCCTTGGCTCTTGCCAACCTGTGTCTAATACTTTCTGGAATTAGGTAAGCAGGATGCATCCCTCCAGGGAGTGAGTGTGCATTCCATTCCGACAAAGACTATCTCTGGGATTTCCATTTGTATGTGGGATGCATAGAAATTTCAGTTCGGTTTGGATGGTGATGGGGTTCCACATGTGTCAGACCAAAATAAATCTTTCTTAACTCACCATTATGAAAGGAAACCAGGCTCAGACATCAGAGAAACCAAAGTACTGACAAATGTCATGGTTTTCCAGCAGTCTTCAAACACTGTTGAATATAAAAATTAGTCTGTTATTTTGCAGATTTACAAAATATCAAGGTACAAAGAAAGCTTAATGATTTAAGACAAAGCTTATACTTCACATATTTATATTCCCAAACAGTTGAATTAACTTGGTTGTTGCTTCATTCCTATACTATGTTTTCAAATAAAATCTTGCATTGTAAATATACCTTCCTTCTCCCTAGCTCAGTTAAAAAATATCACTTCCTAGTCAAATGCCCTGGCAAATACAATCTTAAGCCAATCCTTCGTAGGCATTGAAAAACAATGTAATTTTTGCTTCCAAACTAACCTTCCTGTGGGAAAGCATTTGCACTCCAGATTCTACCCCCTCCTTCATTGGTTCTTTCTCCTGACATGAAATGCACCACACAAATGTAATTTGTTGTTGTTGTTCTATCACTTCCAAATCACCATTCAGCATATTAGAGGCACAAACCAATTGTATAATGCAGAACCATTGGCATTTTATAATTGGTCAGACAATACCTTTTTCCCCACCAGGAACTACTATATATACTGTATATACTGTAACCCCCTCCCTTCTCCCTCCCTGACTCCAGCTTGGGTCTGAAATGCTGTACGCTGTCCAGCACCTTGGAACGTCCTCCCTATGTGAAAGTCGCTATACAAACGTAATCTTGTTGTTGTTGTAATCCCTTTAAACCAAGGTTTTGGTTGCAACATGTCCTAATAGTAAAACTGCTGAGGTTTAACTTTTGTATTTCACTGTAAGAGTGATCTGAGCCAGGTGTCATTGAGCAGCAAGCACCACTTATGAGGTAACCTATTCTCTGGTGACACTTGTGGTTTAATGTATAAAAATGGAGAAGAGAGAATAAAGAATAAAAGGGAAGACAACACTTACATTTGTGTAGCACCTTTCACATCGGGAGGAAGGAATTCAATAGGATTACCCAGCACTGGGATCAACTGGCAGAGTATTTTGAGTATTATATCATATATGTGTGCCAATTGACTTTGTTCCTGGCTCTGGCATAGTGGAACACCTTGACATCCTCTTTGACCTGGTGACAGAATACCGCCAACATGGGCAATGTTCAAGACGCCAGCCTGGCTCAGTTCTCACATCCTCACCACTGAGTCAGAAAGTTGTGGGTTCAGATTGCATGTCGGAACTCTGGCTGCCGTGTTCGCTTACAAAATATATTCACAGTATTTTCCTGTGAAGCACTTTTCCCCCGTCAACTTGGAAAAAGCACTTTAATATTATTATTGCAAGAATTATTATCGTAGAGGATTGTTTTTTTCACGTTTTGTCCCACTGGCTGACCCCAAAGGTACTCTACAAATGTAATTTTGTATTGTAGCCCTTGATTTTCCTCTTCATTTAAGTATTCATACAACAACAAGTTACACTTGTATAGCGACCTTCACGTCGGAAAGATGTCCCAGGGCGCTGGTAAATACACACACAGCCTTTTGCCAGTTTTGATACATTGGCTTACTCACACACGTTTTGTAATTAATAGGCCAGAAAATAACAAGGGAGATTTGGAAGAGGGCCCTTCGCGCCACCTGATTCGCTTCGTCCACAAAATACGCAGTCAGTTCACATTACAGTACATTCTGTAAAGCGCTTTGAGACGTCTCAACGACGTGATGAGGCGCAATATCAAATGCAAGGATTGTACTATTTGTTATGATCCCATCCTTCCTGGAAACATTTCCTTTTGTCCTCTCATTACAGCACTGAGCTGTTCAATAAAGTTTCAGCTCAGTGCCGTGGTCGCTATCAGCCTTCAGAGACTGTCTATCAGCCGTTGATTTCATAACTTTCTTGTCTGGGAACTGCACCTCCTCCTCCCGTTGTGAGAGTCTGTGTTTCTCGAGCACCAATGTTGTGTTCACAAGTAAATAACATGAGAAAAAAGTCCCGGAGTTGCTGTCGGGTTAAGAGTTAGACAATCACAATTACCCTGTCCCCCACCCAGGGCGGGGGGTGGGGGGTGGGGAGAGGGACCTGTCCCCCAGGATGTGGGGGGTGGGGAGAGGGTGGGACCTGTCCCCCAGGGGTGGGGAGAGGGTGGGACCTGTCCCCAGGGTGTGGGGGGTGGGGAGAGGGTGGGACCTGTCCCCCAGGGTGGGGAGAGGGTGGGACCTGTCCCCCAGGGTGTGGGGGGTGGGGAGAGGGACCTGTCCCCCAGGGTGTGGGGGGTGGGGACAGGGACCTGTCCCCCAGGGCGGGGGGTGGGGTTGGGGAGAGGGACCTGTGCCCCAGGGTGTGGGGGGTGGGGAGAGGGTGGGACCTGTCCCCCAGGGGGTGGGGAGAGGGTGGGACCTGTCCCCCAGGGGGTGGGGGTGGGGAGAGGGTGGGACCTGTCCCCCAGGGGGTGGGGGTGGGGAGAGGGTGGGACCTGTCCCCCAGGGTGGGGAGAGGGTGGGACCTGTCCCCCAGGGTGTGGGGGGTGGGGAGAGGGACCTGTCCCCCAGGGTGTGGGGGGTGGGGAGAGGGACCTGTCCCCCAGGGTGTGGGGGGTGGGGTTGGGGAGAGGGACCTGTGCCCCAGGGTGTGGGGGGTGGGAGAGGGTGGGACCTGTCCCCCAGGGGTGGGGGTGGGGAGAGGGTGGGACCTGTCCCCCAGGGTGGGGAGAGGGTGGGACCTGTCCCCCAGGGTGTGGGGGTGGGGAGAGGGACCTGTCCCCCAGGGTGTGGGGGGTGGGGAGAGGGACCTGTCCCCCAGGGCGGGGGGTGGGGTTGGGGAGAGGGACCTGTGCCCCAGGGTGTGGGGGGTGGGGAGAGGGACCTGTCCCCCAGGGTGTGGGGGGTGGGGAGAAGGACCTGTCCCCCAGGGCGGGGGGTGGGGTTGGGGAGAGGGACCTGTGCCCCAGGGTGGGGGGTGGGGAGAGGGTGGGACCTGTCCCCCAGGAGGTGGGGTGGGGAGAGGGACCTGTCCCCCAGGGTGTGGGGGGTGGGAGAGGGTGGGACCTGTCCCCCAGGGGGTGGGGGGTGGGGAGAGGGACCTGTCCCCCAGGGTGGGGGTGGGGTTGGGGAGAGGGACCTGTGCCCCAGGGTGGGTGGTGGGGAGAGGGTGGGACCTGTCCCCCAGGGGGTGGGGGGTGGGGAGAGGGTGGGACCTGTCCCCCAGGGGGTGGGGAGAGGGTGGGACCTGTCCCCCAGGGTGGGGTGGGGGGGTGTGGAAGCTGCTGCCTTGGGTGTCAGTGACTCGCGGGCCGCCACCAGCCCGCGGGCCGCCACCAGTGACAGTGACAGTGACCGGGAGCCCCTCCCCCCCCCCACCCGCCGAGGGGCCGCTCACAACCCGCCGACCCTCCCCCCCCCCCTCAGGCTGACCTGACTGCTGGGAGATGCTCGTCGGAGGGGGAACAGGGGGGCGGGTGGTCTTGTTTCCCCCCCGAAAGCCCCGAACTCCCGTCACCGACCGTCAAACACCGCCGCCGCCATTACCCCAACCGTCACCAGACAACTTCCGGTCCCCGGGGGGGCGGAGCTTCACACACACACACACACACACAGCACTCACACTGAGGTACACTCACAGTCACTACACTGTGATACACACACACACACAGCACTCACACTGAGGTACACTCACAGTCACTACACTGAGATACACACACAGCACTCACACTGAGGTACACTCACAGTCACTACACTGAGATACACACACACACACAGCACTCACACTGAGGTACACTCACAGTCACTACACTGTGATACACACACACACACAGCACTCACACTGAGGTACACTCACAGTCACTACACTGTGATACACACACAGCACTCACACTGAGGTACACTCACAGTCACTACACTGAGATACACACACAGCACTCACACTGAGGTACACTCACAGTCACTACACTGTGATACACACACACACACAGCACTCACACTGAGGTACACTCACAGTCACTACACTGAGATACACACACAGCACTCACACTGAGGTACACTCACAGTCACTACACTGTGATACACACACACACACAGCACTCACACTGAGGTACACTCACAGTCACTACACTGAGATACACACACAGCACTCACACTGAGATACACAGTCACTACACTGTGATACACTCACAGTCACTACACTGTGATACACACACACACACAGCACTCACACTGAGGTACACAGTCACTACACTGAGATACACACACACAGTCACTACACTGAGATACACACACAGCACTCACACTGAGGTACACAGTCACTACACTGAGATACACACACAGTCACTACACTGAGGTACACAGTCACTACACTGAGATACACACACACAGCACTCACACTGAGGTACACAGTCACTACACTGAGATACACACACAGCACTCACACTGAGGTACACTCACAGTCACTACACTGTGATACACACTCACAGTCACTGCACTGTGATACACACACAGCACTCACACTGAGGTACACTCACAGTCACTATAATAATAATAATAATAATCCTTGCATTTGATATAGCGCTTTTCACGTCGGGAGGACGTCCCAAAGCGCTTCACAGAACACACTGTAAAGTGAATTGACTGTATATTTATGGGCGAACGCGGCAGCCAATTGCGCACAGCAATGTCCCACAAACAGTCGTAGATTGAAATGACCAATTTATTATTGTTTTGGGTTTTGGAGGGATTATTATTAGGTGTGTGGAGTAAGGAAACTTGCCCAAGGTTTCGCCCTCTGCCTGGAATTGAACTCAGGTCTCTCACTTGCAAAGCGAGTGCTCTAACCACTGAGCTACAGGACTCCATGATACACACACACAGTCACTACACTGAGATACACAGTCACTACACTGTGAGATACACACACAGTCACTACACTGTGATACACACACACACAGTCACTACACTGAGATACACACACACCGTCACACACACTAAGATACACACACACAGTCACTACACTGAGATACACACACACAGTCACTACACTGAGATACACACACACAGTCACTACACTGTGAGATACACACACAGACACTATACTGTGAGATACACACACACAGTCACACACACTGAGATACACGCACACAGTCACACACACTGTGAGATACACACAGTCACTACACTGTGATACACACACACAGTCACTACACTGTGATACACACACACAGTCACTACACTGTGAGATACACACACACAGTCACTACACTGTGAGATACACACACACAGTCACTACACTGAGATACACACGCAGTCACTACACTGTGAGATACACACTCTAGAGAGTCATATACACTGAGATACACACTCTAGAGAGTCATATACACTGAGATATGCACAGAGTCACATACACTGAGATACACACAGAGAATCATATACACTGAGATACACACAGAAAGTCACATACACTGAGATACACACAGAGAGTCATATACACTGTGAGATAGACACAGAGAGTCATATACACTGTGACTGATACACACACAGAGTCATATACACTGTGAGATACACACAGAGAGTCACATACACTGTGAGATACACACAGAGAATCGTATACACTGAGATACACACAGAGAGTCATATACACTGTGAGATACACACAGAGTCATATACACTATGACTGATACACACAGAGAGTCATATACACTATGACTGATACACACAGAGAGTCATATACACTATGAGATATACACAGATAGTTGCATACACTGTGAGGTACACACAGATAATCATATACACTGTGAGATACACACAGAGCGTCACTTACACTGAGATACACACAGAGAGTCACATACACTGTGAGATACACACAGAGAATCATACACAGAGAGACTCACATACCCTATGACTGATACACAGAGAGTCGTATGCACTGTGAGATACACGCAGAGAGTTATATACACTATGACTGATGCACACACACAGTCATATACACTGTGACTGATACATACACACACAGGGTCACATACAACAACAACAACAAGATTCCATTTATAGAGCGTCTTTCACGTCGGGAGGACGTCCCAAGGCGCTGTACAGTTGGGTCAGGACCCCAAGCAGGGGGGAAATGGTCAGGGTGAGGGGAGGGAAGGGAGGGAGCGAGGAGGGGGGAAATGGTCAGGGTGAGGGGAGGGAAGGGAGGGAGCGAGGAGGGGGTAGAGAGTCGAGAGGGGAGCTGAAGGCACCGTCAAAGAGAAAGGTCTTGAGACCGACCTTGAAGGAGGAAAGGGAGGAGGCGGCGAAGGCACTGGGGGATAGAGTTCCAGAGATGAACTGTGAAATACATAGAGAGTCATATACACTGAGATACACACAGAGAGTCATATGCACTGTGAGATACATAGAGAGTCATATACACTGTGACTGATACACACGCAGAGTCACATACACTGTGAAATACATAGAGAGTCATATACACTATACACACAGAGATTCATATGCACTGTGAGATACACACTCTAGAGAGTCATATACACTGTGAGATACGCACAGAGTCACATACACTGAGATACACACAGAGAGTCACATACACTGTGACCGATACACACAGAGATCGTCACATACACTGTGACTGATACACACAGAGAGTCATAAACACTGACTGATACACACAGATAATCATATACACTGAGAAATACAGAGAGAGTCATATTCACTGTGAGAGTGATATACAATGAGAGATACACAGAGAGAGTCATATACTCTGTGAGAGATACACACAGGAGTGATACACCCAGTGAGACGCAAACAGTGAGTGAAACACACAGTGACTGAAACAGACAGTGCCTGGTACAGACAGTGACTGATACACACAGTGACTGATACACACGGTGAGTGATACACACGGTGAGTGGCACACACGGTGAGTGGTACACACGATGAGTGGTACACGCGGTGGGTGGTACACGCGGTGGGTGGTACACGCAGTGAGTGGTACAGGCGGTGAGTGGTACAGGCGGTGAGTGATACACACGGTGAGTGGTACACACGGTGTGTGATATACACAGTGACTAATATACACGATGACTGATATACACAATGACTGATATACACAGAGAGTGATATACTCATTGTGTGATATGCCCAGTGAGTGATATGCCCAGTGAGTGATATGCCCAGTGAGTGATATGCACAGTGAGTGATATGCACAGTGAGTGATATGCACAGTGAGTCATATACACAGTGTGGGATCTACACATTGAATTACATACAAAATGTATCATATACACAGTGAGTGATATACACAGTGAGTGATATACACAGTGTGCGTTACATATAGTATGTTATATATACACTATGTGGTATACACAGTGTTTAATGTATACAGTGTGATCCTTTCAATATTTATATTGTGAAACCAGTAATTTCTTCTTCACGGTGCTAACCTTGGGAAGCACACAGATGCTGAGGCTTGTGTAACAAATTAAGTAAAGAGGATGTTGGGTATCGGTCAGCTGGGTAGTATGACCAACACAAAAGGAATAAGGAATGGTCTGAATATAGTAAGAGTGTGTGTTATGATGGGACGAGTAAAAGAGCAGTGCTGGTGCTGAGCAGCTGACGATCAGCAATCTTAACAGGTAATAGAATGGGTTCCAGCTGGGAAGGTCAAATCCTGAATGGGGGAATGAAGAGGGACATCTAATGGGAAATTATTATGGCATTTATTGGCAGCCTTAATTTAATGATTGACTGACTGGTGAATAAGTCTCATTCAGTCCTTCTACATTTCTTTCTTCAGATTGCCCACAAAATATACAGTCAGTTCACTTCACAGTATTTTCTGTGAAGCGCTTTGAGACGTCTCAAAGACATGATAAGGCACTCTATCAAATGCAAGGATTATTATTATTATTATTTGGATTCATTCATGCACCCCCCTACCTCTCCGACCTACTATCCCCTCACATACCTGCCCGTACCCTCCGTTCCTCTGGCTCCGGTCTGCTCCACATCCCCCGCCCTAACCGCCCTACCATCAGTGGCCGGGCCTTCAGCCTCTCAGCCCCGAGGCTCTGGAACTCCATCCCCCAGTGCCTTCGCCGCCTCCTCCCTTTCCTCCTTCAAGGCCGATCTCAAGACCTTTCTCTTCAACCGTGTCTTCAGCTCCCCTCTCGACTCTCTACCCCCTCCTCGCTCCCTCCCTTCCCTCCCCTCACCCTGACCATTTCCCCCCTGTTCGGGTCCCGACCCAACTGTCCAGCGCCTTGGGACGTCCTCCTGATGTGAAAGGCGCTCTATAGATGAAATCTTGTTGTTGTTGTATTTTAATAATAATAATAATACTTACATTTGATATAATGCCTTATCAAATCCCTCCACTCCTCTGCACCCACTGACCTCTCTGACCTCCTCTCTCCTCACAACAGGGCCATTGCTTTCGCTCCACTGGGTCTGGCCTCCTCCTTGTCCCCCAAATCCTCTGCTCCACCATTGGCGGCCGTGCCTTCAGCCACTACACCCCGAGGCTCTGGAACTCCCTTCCTCACTCCCTTCC